AATTTATAACTATTATTTTAAATTTACTGTAAAGTAGTACTTAAACAATTTTTTAATGCAAACTTTGTTGGTATTTATATTGTTGCATATTTTCTTTAATACTCTTTATAAAAATTTTACAACTATTTGTTTAAGTTTGCTCTAGTTAATTTTTCACATAAAAGTTATTAGTATATATATTTTTTAAAAAAAAGATAACTGTAGATATTTACGTTTTAGTAGGAAGTTTATAATATAAAATTATGTGTTAGTGTTTAAATATCTATTAGGTTATTGAAGAGTTCTAAACGCACCATTATTATATAACTTTGGTTAAATCTTTAAAACTGAAAAACTATTTTATATGAAATCAATTAGTTTTTGTAGTGACAAGAAATAAACTTTATTATACTTAAATTTTAAAATATTTTTGTTAAATTAAAATATAATTTAGTTAAAAGTTGTGTTATAAACCTATTTTTTAAAAGCCTTTAAAATTTTTCATTACATAGATCGGAAGTCACTTTGCTCTTAATATATTCAAATTTAGCTCGGGATGGTTTTTCCAGAAGATTTTTTATAACAATGTGCTCTGTCGCGAGAACTTTTCCTATGTTCCAATTTATTTTTGTACCTTATGACAAAAATAGGTTATATTATTTTTGTATACTTTATTTAAATAAATTAATTAATTTTGCGAAGTTAAACGTTTAACTTGTTCTTAAAATTTTTGTTATTCTTCAGGTATTTTTTTAAAGATAAAAATTATTTATAATAGTTAAGAGTATGTAATAATTAATAATAATAGATAATGAAAAAGAAAAGTTAATTTGGAGGTCTTTAAAAAAAAATTCAAGTTTATACAACATAAATATATAGTTTTTATAAAACCTAAGTTATAAATCGTTTTTTTCACCAAAGGATTTACATTCGTATATTTAATTTTTTTTCGAAATTTTTATATTTAGAGTTTTGCGTTGGGCCTTACTTAATATTATTAAATTATAAACACATTTTATAGCGTAATATATTATATTTTAAACTTTATTTAAAAATAAATTTGAGTTTTTAATGGAATTTTTTTTTCATATAATTTACTACGTCGACGTTTACAGCATTGTAAAAAACGGAGATTGAATTATTTTTTTAACTTTTGTACGTTAAAACTTTTTCTTGTTAAAAATTGCTATAATTTATATAAAATGGTGAACACCTAAATCAAAGTTTTATATCTGTAGCCCCAAAATATTTTAATACAAATTTTAACAATTTATATCATCATTATTTTTGGTGCTTGAAGTTTTTTTAATTTATCAAATTTGAATTGTATTCTTCTCAAGTTTTTTAGTAATTCTTTTTTTAAAACAATTTACTTTTGTTTTTTTTGTTTTTGCTCTCTTCAGATTTAGCTATTAAGCAATTGAATAAATTCTTTTTAATTTTGAAAAATATTTTATTATATAAAGAAAAAAATTGTTTATTTTATGTACGCTGTTAGTCTATATTTTATTTCTATGGTTTATAAAAGTGTTATAATTTAACTTATTGTAACTACTTGTTTACAAAGTGTATAGTAAACTTAAACCTTTAACAAACTGTAAATTTAATAATTCAGTATAAAGAAAACTTCCATAAAAGTTTTTTTAAAATTATATAAAAATAATTTTTTGCATCTAATTTATTTTTTGTTAGTGAACTTTTTAATTTTATGATTTATTTTAAGCAATAACATTGAATAAAATTTCAAAAATACGTATAAAGTTATATAACAAAATACCCAAAGCCATAATAATATATAAATTATATAATTACGAAGAGAATTATAAAAACCAAACTCAATCAAAAATTTATAAAGCAAATACTGTTAAAAAAGATTTCAAATTAAATTTAATTAAAAGTAACGTTATTAAGGAAATTTATGAAGTATTAAAACTTTATTTTTTTAAAGTACTATTAATTAGTAAAATAACGTTTATTAAATTTGTAAGTAAAAAAATTGTTAATGCAATTTTTATAAAACATTTTAAATAAAACATTAAAAATAATTTAAAATTTAAAAATTGTAATTTGTTATTTTATTGACAAAATTTAATTTTTATAAGTGACTTAATTAGTTTTAAAATCATTTTAAACAAATAATAAAAAGAAAATTAAAAAGTAACAAATATATATTTTTGTTCTAAATTTTTAGTAAATCACTAATTTTTTTTTTTTTATCAATAAACTAAATAAATAAAAATAATTTTTATTAAAAATAACTTAATTACGTTAAATAATAAGTTATTTTAAACAAATACATTAAAAAAATTCAAAAGCAACAAACATCTTTTATAAATTTTAATTTAAACACTAAATTAACAAATAAACTTAATGTTAATAAATAAATCAATTTAATTAAAAATATATTATTTACTTCAAATAATAAATTTTTTTAAAATTTATTTTAATAATTTGAAGAGTTTTATTAATTAAATAAATTGACTTGTTTAAAAGTTTATCGTAAAGTCTTAAGAAAATCTTTACGCAGTTGTTTTTCATTACAAGTAATAAATATTTCTTAAAATTAATTTTTTACAATTTTTTTTCATAATTTAATTTTTATTAGTGAACGATTCAATTTTAAGAATCAATTTATATTTGTTTCGTCACTTCCCAAATTGCTGATTTTCAAAGAAAATTTACTTTTTGATAAGTATAACGGCGATCAAACGTACGAGGTTATACAATAATACTTAAATGAATATTAATTTTTTGATAATTAATTTTTTTAAACTTTGTCATACTTTGATTTTTTAGTTGTAATTAAATGCTTACTTTTTTTAAAAAAACATTCAAATCTCTATAAACATAAATTTTTTTTTAACATTTTTAATTATTACATATGAATAAAGATCTTTAAAATTAACGCAAATATAATTTAAGAAATTTGAAATAAAACTTTTTTTTCTTTTTTCTTAATATAAAATGTTGAAGATTAATCTCTTGAAATTTTAATTTATAAACTTTTTATAAAAAGTTTGATGTATTTTTCTAATTTCTATACCAAACTTTTTTTTTATTTAATATTATTAACAAAAAAGTAAGTAATTTATAATTTTTTAATTTTTTTTTTAAAGAAGTACTTTTATAACATACTTTTAACAAAAGGTAAAAACTTCTTTTTACCAAGCTTGATTTTAAAATTGGTAAAAAAGGAGTTCTCTTAAAAGTAATAATTGAAATTTTGTAACTAATTTATTTACAACAAATTGTATTTTATTTTAGATTCTGGTTATAAAATGAATTTTTGTACTTAAAATTCTAAATTAATTAAAAACTTATAAGGATTTAATATTTTGTATTTTTTATATTTTATTAAATAAATATTATAGTTTTAATTAATTTATAATTTTTCTATTTTATATTTTTTTTACTCCGTTATAAATAATTTAAATATAGATTCTTTTTTCTAAATTGAATTATTATACTTTTTTTCACGTAGGATGTTGTTAATTATATTTCCCGTTTGACGACGTGTCGTCCATTGCGCCAAACGCAGTGTCTTATAGAAGACGAGCTTTCCTGCATCGTCCAGTATAACTATAAAAACTCATCGCTTAAGTAATTTATTTAAAATTCAAGAATTTATTTTAATTTTTTAATTTTTTGTACTAATTGTTTTCAATGTATTTACTTTTTGCCTTAAGTGACTTTTCTTTTTGTATAGAAAATTAATTTTGACGGAAGGCATTTGCCTAAAATAAAGAATTTTTTTTTAGTTGTTTATATTTTAAAAAATTGGGTTACCGCATTTTAAAAGTTTATTGAATTTATCATAAGTATAAAATCTATAGCAAAAGCCTTTAAAAATATAAAAAACTGTATTTATCATAAATTCTACTTTTTATTAGCAACAGCGTTTTATATAAATACTTGAGTAAATTGTCTTAAATTTACTATAATAGAAAAATATTTACCGGAATTTTGTTCTTATTTTTTGGGGTGAAATTGAGTTATGGCCATACTAAAAATTTATTAATTTGCTTTTTTACTTTTTTTAAAGTCGAATTAGGGTATACTACTTTCTTTAATAGTCTTAAACGTTTTTTAAAAAGAATTGGTTACCTCATTAAACTTTGCTCTTAATATAATGTAAAGAATATATTTACTTTACTTTTTATAGGATATTTACAATAATTTATTGTTTACCTTTTTAAATTATAATTTAATTATAAATTTAACTAATTTATAAAAATAGTTATTTTTGTTATTATATTTAAAAAGTTAAATCAAAATTAAATTCCAAAGTTAACGGACTTAATTGCAGTTGCTCTACCTAAGAAAAAGTTTTAATTTAGTACAAAATGATAGTTTTATAGTACTTTTACGTTTATATATATTTATTATATCAATGAATAATATACACTACTTACTTTGAATCCAATCATTTAAAATTCTAAATAAATTTATTTTAAAACTTAATACTGAGAAGACTTATAAAAGTTAGCTCATGACTATAATTAAATTTTAACTCTTTTGAATAAAAAAGTTGATAAGTAAAACATTAATTCCATTTATAGATTTTATAAAGATTATTTTTTAATTAACTTATAAATATATATTTAGTAATGAAGATGACGTTGATTATGCGCTTTTTGCTGCATATTGCGTTGTGGGCTTCTATGGTTTATCTTACTTTTTTAAAAAAGTTCGCGGAAGGTTTACTTGGGAAAATAATTAAACGTAATTTAAGTATTTTATAAGAAATTAAATTCAAAAGTTTCGGACTTTAGCGTTTTTAAACTGATTTTAAGGAGTTCTTATATTGAATTTTTTTTTTTAATAACGACTACTGCGAAAAGAATTTCTATTTTTACTAAAGTTCATTGCTTTGGATTATATAAATGTGCTTTGATGAATCTAAACTTGTTAATGAGCTATAACTACAGTTGCTTAGAATTTTTAATTTTCTTTTAAATATAAAGTTTGCCAAATAAAAGTTTAATTTTTTTAAAAGGTGTAATCAATTTCTACTACTCCAAGTCGCCGTTGTTAGCTACGCTAACAGAGCTAAAAAAAGAGCTGAGTTCACTAACGCTCTCTTCAAGATTTTCTAAAAAAGAAATATAGTAAAATTATATAAAAAATCGCAAAGAAAACCGACCTGGTGTTACAGGAGGCAAAGTGTAAGAATTAAGCAATGCGTTGGAGATCCACAACTGAACATCCTCATAAGTTGGAGGGCGTAGACTTCCAGAGTCAGTAATCTGCAAGTACTGCTCGTACTGCTTAAGCAAATCTAAGTTTGGAGTTAATTATTAATTAAAATGGACTAATTAAGAAAATAATATAACCGAATTTTAAAGCTTTAATAATATCAGTGAAAATTGATTTCACTCGAATAATCGGCTCAGGAAGGTTTTCTTCAATTATCTTCACGTATATTATGCCAACCACCTCTTTGTTAATATTAGAATTTAATAGTTTACAGGCTTTTAGCTGTTACACCTTTTGCACTTGAAAAAAAATTAGGGTTTAAGTCGTAAGTAAGACTAGGATTATAGAAGGAGATATGCCCTATAAAGCAGTTGGAACTGTAAAAAAAAAAATTCTAATTAAACAACGATAAATAGGAGAAAGAATAAAATTATACAACTCGTTACACTGAGTTTGAAGTAAGGTATACAGCTCCTCTAACTTTTTTAAAGGGGCCAAGTTTACTTGAATTTTTATTGTTCGTCACATAAATTACAAATCTCTTAAGTATTGAGTGATTTCGTTTGACTGAATTTTCAAATCTTACTGAGAGCTGACCTTCCAAGACTCTATAAAAATTGCGGTCAAAGCTATTACGATTATTGAGTGTGCCGCCGTTAGTGTTGCAGTTAACAGTACTTTCAGTAGGACAAAGATTACTACTAGAATTCACATTTTCTTCAGAGCTTATTTTTAAAGTGCTCGCAAATTCCTTAGTAAGAGGACAATCTTTTTGAATAAAATGTTCTTGTTCAGTATTTCTAGAAGGAACGTTTCCTAAAGCAGATGGGTAAGTAGAAGTCGCGGTAAGTCTGCAAGAGCTTTCCCCGACGATAAGCGCTTGATAATAATACATGACAAAACTTTATTTTTTACTATTAATATAAATTTCATGAGCACTCCATAACTCTTTTCAGAATGGAATCTCTTTTTTTAAAAAAAGACTGGTATTACGCTTTAAATAAAGAAGGGTTTTTACCTTTTTTAGTGGTGGCCAAACCGAGTTTAAACGTGTTTTATGTTTAGAGGAAAGAAAAGAGAAAAAAGTACTGGGGCGGAGCCCGTCTAATCTTGCAACTCGGTGTCTCTGCCTTACCTACTACTAGTACCTTTTTTTTAGTTAGTAGTAATATTTGTTCACGTTCATCAACCAATTTATATTATACATTTACCCGCATGGGCTATTTTTAAATTTTTGTTGTTGCATATATTCTGGTACTACTTGACCTCTGTATAAATGCGTACAATTTTCTTCCTAGTAAAAATTTATTGCGGTACACTGCCCGACCATGTAACTCTTACATCTTACTAACGCCATTTCTCTTTTATTTTTTAATATTTTTAGAAAGTGTTAGTTAGGATGTACTTTAATATAAAGGAACTTAAATATCAGGTTTAGAACAGATAGTCGGCCTACTTAACCTAATTAGTAATTATAAACTTGTTAAAGTTTGCGCTTGCTCAGAACTTTATATAAAATCTTAAAGCTAACATACCCTTACTCGCTCGAGAGATTTAAAGAAGTATTTAAAAAATAAGCCTAGTTTACATTTCCCTTTATTAATTTACAAATTAGGCGCTAAACCTTAATTGTAAGATTTAGAGAAGGAAACAATTTCTTTGCTTTCTGAAAAAAATAATTATATGTTCCGGCGAAGTTCCAAAGGAGCAAGTGATTACTTAGCGTTGTAGCGCTACATCATACTTTTTCTTAAATCATTTTGGGTGCAGCTCTTGAAAATTCTCAGAGCGCCCAAACGAAGAGGATAACATCAATCACTTCTTACTGTTTTGAACCGATAGTCCCGGAAGTTTAAATAATTTCCAATTTTCTCTTGACTCAGTTCTGCGAGGTAAAAAGTTTTGTGTAACCCTTTTAAAGTTGAGTAAAGAAAACTTATATCAAAAGGTTCATTACTGTTAATCTTTTTTTGAGTTAGACAGTTAAGCTTAGGCTAGCCTTTTTTGAAACTTTTTCATTTTGATCTCACATAACAATATCGTCATTTTTATCATAATTTCGCTGCTTTTAAACTTTTTCTTAGCCTTACTTTTTAACCTTTAAGAGTGCAGCCTTAATTTTTCCAACTGAACTTAATTGTAGTTTTTACTAAAAATATTTTTTAAGGTGAGAACATTTAAAAGCTTCTTTCTTTTTACTAATATATGTTAACTTGTTGTTAGCATAAATATGCCAAGATTTCGGCCTACTAATATAGATTTCAAATGATACTATAAAGAGGCTCTTCTGGTGTTTTCAGATTGGAAAATCTAAAGCTAGAGATTAGGGAACTTCTTACAAATGTGTACCGGAAAAGCCGTTCTTATCCAACGTAACAAAAAATCAATATCTCTACTATTTATCAAATCAACATCGACATTCACAATTGGGCGTAATTTTCTTGTTCAGTAATTATTACGCTATTTTAATTTTTATAAACTATAAATACTATAATAGCGCCAAAAAATTGGAAACAGTAAGTAATTTTTTTATGGATGTCTTCAATTAAAGAGGCAAATAATTAATTTTATTTTGCTAAGCTAGTCACTTTCCACTTAGGATCTTAAAAAAGAGCTTTGCGTAAGGTTTTGTATAACAACCACAAAATCAATAAACACATAAAGTAGTTTAGGGACATCTAAAAAATTAATTGCCCATTTCAGAAACTATTTCTGGTAGAAGTTAAGAAAAGTTCATAAAAATTAATTATAAAGACCATAACAAATGAATTTTATTTTAAATACGTTAATGAGATCGATCAGCATAACCGATCAAATGCTTCCGGCCTAATACTTCTCCAAATTTAAACCAGCAGTACAATTCAACTCCAACCAAAGTTTCTGCAATTAACATTGTTTTAATTATTTTTCCAGTTGTTTTATAAAATAATTATAATAACTGGCTATAAATTCTTTAAAAGTTAAATCGAGAAATTTTCGTTGTAGAAGACATTGAACTCCCTTGAGTTATTATTAATTATAACCAAAGAAACTTAAAGGGTAATAAAATTTTAAAAATTCATTTGAAAGTAGATTTTAATTTATTACGGTAGTTAGCGAATTTTTAAACTGAGGAAAAGTAGAGGGAGAAGGAGGCGCGAGATCCATAGCCAACTGCCGAGCAACGCCGCGAACTTTAGGAGAGTTAATATAATCTAAACATAAAAAATAAGTAAAAAGTGTAACCCATAAAAAAATTTTATGTAAGTTACCATAAACTATAATTGCTTTTCTTTTAGCATCAGTTGTGTCTATTCAAATATTAAATAAAAGAATTACTTATTAAATTTAAGGATTAAAATATACCTATTTTTTTAAAAAGAGTCTTCAAGGTGTTCATACTTGGAATCATTGTAGATTCTTATCGGCTTTATTATAAACTTTGATTTTAGTGGATTGCTAGTAAACAGAAGTTAAAGAAATATGTGAAGAAGAAATAAATTTAGGTAAAAGTAAGATATGAGATAAGGCAATAAAAAAAAGATATACACCTAAATATTTTAATAAAAAGTAATCATATAATTAAAGTATTATTATTAAACAAAATTTACAGATAATTCAAGTAAAAATATTGACTGAACTAAAATTATGGCAAAGAAGCCCGCACGAGGAGAAAAGTAAAGGGGATAAGGCTTGTCAAAAAAAGCGGGTAAACATTGAAGTACAACAGTAATAAAAATAGTAAATAATAATGACAACAGAGTTAAATTATTAATTATCATAAACGAAGTACTAATACTGTTAAAGCTAATATTATGGCAAAGAAGTCTGCACGAAGAAAAGGTATAAGAAGATAAGCCTTGTCAAAGAAAAGGTAAGGAAAAAACACTGAAATAATTTAAGTGAAAATAATTAACTTTTAAAAATCATTAATTTTTTTATATTTTTTTTATATATTTTTACTAATAGTAATGATAAAATTAATAACTATATATTTATTATAACGAAAATAACAGAAAATTGAAGTATAGATACTGACTTTAACAACTAAGATCAAAGAAAAGAAGCTCGTACGAAAAAAGAAAGGAAGAGGATAAGCGTAGTCTATTAAAAACGCAAGTCTGAATCCAATCGTCTTTCGTATTTGCAGTAACAAGCCAAAAAATCTTCCCGCCTAGTGCGTACTTCTAGCTAGTTGCAATAAGGATTGTGGTTAAATATTATTGCAGAAGTGTTATTTTTTACTAGTTATTATTATAAGATAATACCATTTTGAAATTTCTTAATTACTCTATGTTACCAGTAATAGGAAAATAATAAAGGAATATCCTTGCAACTTCGTTTTGCTTTTATGTATAAAGATAATATAGTAAACGGAAAATTGTAAGGTATGATTATATCCTCCCGGTGGTCCTTTATTTTTTAAATACTATGTAATAGTATTTTTATCAAAACTTGTCTTACTAGTTTTATTATTTAGTAATGTCTTCTAAAAAACAAAGTATATCATTTTCTAAAAAATATTCCATTTCTGGGTTATGTGCACTGCCACTCCTCGCTGGTATGACTTGCATTGAATAAATCCTTGTAATGTCTTTTTATTCTTTTTATTTAATAGTTAGTTAAAACTTGTGCTATAAGCTTACTTTACTTAGGCGATCTAAATAAATATATAATCTTATTTCTAACTTTTCCTTAGGCTTTCTAATATTTTCAAGCTTTTCTGACAATCTAAGAAAGCGTGGTCTTTCTTCTTTGCTATTATCCGTTTCTCCTTACATGTATGCTTCGTTTGGAATTTTTTCTGCTATTTCCTTCTCTGTTGTTGGTGCTGCTTGGGGCATCATGATAACCGGTTCCAGTATAATTGGAGGTTTTTTATATATATATTTATTTTTAGTTAAAATTTACTATTTTTGATTTTTATTAATTTTTAATTTTTAATTCTATAGTAATGTTCTTTATTTCGTTCTGTTGGTACTAAAAACAGACTTTTTCCAAGTAATTTCTATTTGTAAAAATAGGAATTTTAAATAATTATAAAACTTGCTTTCATAATTTTATAAAGAAAATAATTATGAGAAATAAATGTTTTAAGATCTTTTATAGGAAAATTATTTCTATTAATCAAAAAGTAAGTAATTTTTTGTTATAATTACATTTATAAAGCATTCTCTTCCTACTTTTCTTAAAAATTATAAGATTGTGATTAATAGAAAATTATGATTTTATAATTTCCGTATCATAAAACTAAATTTTATTCATATATATATAATAAATAAACTAGACCGCGAATAAGTATAGAATTTTTTATATATAAAATAATCTTTTAAGTAAAGATAAATTAGGATTCGCTGTTTTTATAATAGTTAACTTTCTTTTTTACTTTTCTTTATAAACTGTTTTTTATTCAAGTCTATATATATATTTTTGTTTATATTTCATAATATGAAACTTTTTATTATTTTTTAACACTTTTCAGTTAACTTACAGAAATTTAAATTATAATTTTTATATTATAAAAAGCAATAGGAATTTTTTTTCAACTTTTTGTTATATATTTTACTATTACTATTGAATCATAAAAATCATTGAAGTTTATACAATAATAATATTTATAATAATAATTAACAATGAGGAAGCGTTGCAGCTCCACATATTCGTACGAGGAATCTTATAAGGTTTATATTTATTTTTACAATAAGTTTAGATTTAGCGAAGAAGCGCATTTTATTAATGCTTAAATATTTAATAATAAAATTTAAATTTCATTTCTAATTAATTATATCCTAAATAAAGGATTTTTAATATAACTAATGTTATTTTTGCTTAAAAACTTTTTTTTTTAACTTTTATATTTTTTGTAAACTTTTTTTCCTGGTTATTATTATTATTTTTTATTTTAATTATATTAAATATAAAATTTTATAATAATTTTTTTTGTTAAACTTAAATTTTATATTTGTAGACTTTTTTTTATCTGTTTATTATTATTTTTTCCCTTTTTTTATAATATTAATTATATTATATATTAAATATTTTTATTTTAACTAATATTGTTTTCCCTTAAAAACTTTTTTTTGTTTATGCTTAACTATTATATTTGTAGACTTTTTTATCTATTTATTATTATTTTTTTTTATACTCATAATATTTTATATAAGTTATTGACTACTTGATATTGTTTTTACGTGATAGATTTTTGTTTATGCTCAACTTTTAAATTTTTTGATATTCTTCTGCTTATTTTTATTTTTTTTCTTTCTATATTAACATTGTTTTGATACTTTTGATTATTTTAATTTTAATAACTTATTTTATATTTTATTTTTTGTTTGACTTTTATATTATATAAAAAAAAAGTTGTTTATAATTATTATTAATTATACTTATAATGAAGTTAATATTATTATTATGCTATAGTATAAACTTTACTTATTTTATTATATGAAAAAAGTATTTTTTTATAATTTATTACTATCTGTCTTCCTTGTTGTTATGTATTAAGAAAATATGTTACATTTTTATTAAATATTTTTGCTTGTTTAATTTTTTAAATCTATTTTAGTTTTTCTTTATACAGAATTGTTATTATTATGCTGGCTAAATCTTTTTTTGTATTATATTATATTTTAATATTTATAAACTTTTGTTAGAGTTAAACTCTATGAATAATAATATTAATGCTTATTCTTTTTTATTTTTATATATTTTTCCATTTATTATATTTATAATATAGTTTGTTTATTTTAAAGGTTATTATTTTATTTTTATAATTGTTATATTCTTAAGTATTTATATACATAAACTTCCTTATCCTGATTATAATATTTAAAGTTCATATTATAGAGAAAAGTATAAGAGAGAAAGTAAGTGTTAAAAAGTTTTACTTTTATTGACTTTATATTTTTTATATATATATACTATTTACTATATATTTTTTTAATATAATATATAAAAAGAATATAATTATTAATGCAATTTATAATAAGAATAAATAAGAAAATAGTACAAAAGTAATGTTTAGAAAAATTATCAAATAATAATACAAATCATTAATACTATATAATAAAAATATTCATAATTATATATTTTATATTTGAAGCTGTGAAATGCTAATATTAATATTAATAAACTTTACCAACTTTTAAAAAATAATTACTTAATAAGAGTTAAACTTTTCATTCTATTATACTATTTAGTAAAACTTTTTTTTTGCATGGAAAATAAAATAGAAAATAAGTTTGTTGTAATGTAAAAGCTTTTCGCTTAAAAAATGTATATGGTAAATACTTCTAATAAAGGTTATATTGTAATAATAGTAACATTACTAATAATTTAAGAATGCTTATAAAAAAGTATTACAGTAAAATGTGGCAAGCTTTTCTTTTTTATCTGTTCAGATAGGCATAATTATATATTATTGTTATTATTAAATATTATTATTGTATTTAGTATTTACTATTATTATTTATCTTGTGATTATTTATTATTATTAACAACTTTATTAAAAATATTTTAGTTATTGTTATTAATAACTAATTTATTATGAATATTTATAGTTTTAATAATAATTATAATAAGTTATTATTTTTTAAGTTTTAACTTTTTCAGTGGTTTTTATTATTATTATTATTTAGCGTAGTTTTTTGTGAAGCTGTGGCCATTTATGGCCTTATTATGGCCATCGTTTTTTCAAACGGCCTAAAAAGGTTTGAGTTGTCTCCACTAAAAAGTTTACAGGAGAACAGCATTATCTATGAAAAAAATGTTTTTGCAGGTTTCTCATTATTATTATATTATTTTTAATAGTACAATACATTATTATTGCTTTAGAGAATATTATTACTATTACTAGTTTTATCATTTTTTTAATATTTTTTCAAATAATTATTTACTTTTATTATTATTTTTTTATTATAGAAAATCTTTATTTTATAATAATTACTTTTTTTAAAGGCATGGCCTACTTTGGAGGCGGTTTGACGTGCGGGTTATGCAATTTGGCTTGCGGAATTTGCGTCGGTTTGGTCGGCGCTGGTATAATAATAATAGTATTAATTGTAATAATAAAAATATAGTAATAATAATAGTATAAGTAATAACATTAATAGTATTGATAGCAATAATAACAATATATAAATAACAATATATGAATAAAGAATAATAATAACATTAAGTAATAACAGTGATAATATTAATAGTAATAATTATAATATAAATAATACTAATTATACAACACTAATAATAATAAAGTTTTGTTTAATTTTTTTTAGCCCGTAATAAAATAAATCATTTATTTACTTTTCCAAAATTGTTTATTTTTTTTTTATTTGTATAAACTTTTTTTTTTACGGGCTAAAAAAGTTAAACAAAACTTTATTTTTAATCTTTCATATTCAAATATTAATTTCTTTTGTACATTTTCTAAGTAATGCAATAATAATATTTGTAAACTTTTATTTATAGTAAATTTTTTTTAAAGATTCTGACAGAAAAAATTATGTTTTATTTTTATGTTATCATAATTTTTTTTTTTACTTTTTTACTTTTTAGGTTTTTTTAAATTAATAATATTTTTTATTAGCAGTGAAACTTTTTTAAAAGCGGATAGTAAGACTAATTTTGTTATAGCAAATTCTTTTTACATAAAATTGTTTCTTTTTAAATTATGAATATTATTTTTGTTTTTTTATAAAAACTAAATTTTCTTTAAATTAAATTCTTAAATATTTTTTTATTTTTTACATTTATTGGTTTTTTTTATAATTGAATTTTTTTCATCTAAATTCTTTTCATATAAAATATTTTTTTTCATTTATAAATATAATTTTTTTTGAGATTACTTTTTATAAAGTTATAAATTTATATTAATTTATATTTTTAAAGTTAGATAATTTTAATTAACTTCTAAAAATATTTTATATAACGTCATTAGCTTTTTTAATAAAAAGTTTAAAATTTAATTTTCTTTATCAAATTTAATGATAATAAATTTATTACTTAAAATTTTTTATATTAAAATCTTATTATAAAATTTTGCACGAATTTATAGAGCATTCAAGGCAGTTTAGAGTTTGATTCAAAATAATAATTATAAAAAAAATAATAAATATATAATTAATATAATATTAATTATTACTAATGATGAAAGTACGAAGTTTTTAGCTCTTTTAGAATTTTCGGGTTATTTAAAATTTAATTTAATTTTTTTTAAAGACTTTATTGTGTATAAAATATTACAGCAATACTTTACTTTTTCGTTTTATTGTTTACTGAAATTCTTTTTAACAATTTTTTTTAAAGATTTTCAAATAACAAAAATATTTGGAAATTTATATGAAAATTGTTTTTAAGATTTTATAAAAAATTACTTCACGACTTTATAAATTTTCAATAAATTAGATTTTGTTTTAATTTTTTTGTTAATTCTGACGGCGATAATTATTTTTTATAAGTTGTGGTAATCACACACATTTATAAAACTTTTGGCTTTTCTTTATATTACAATTTTTCTTTTGATTTATAAAAATTTTGGTTAAAAAAATTAAAATTAATTTATAAAATATTGAGAATTTTTTTTATTTTCACACAAGAATTATTAAAAAAATAACCAATTTTTTAATAATTTTTTTATATTTAAAAAAAAAAAATACGTAAACGTTTGCTTAAACTTTAGTATTCAATTAATATTATATAAATTTACACAAAAACCGTAATGAAGGAAAAATTATTTTACTCAACTTTATTACAATTTCATATATTTTTATTAGCGCGTATAGAATCATTTTTTAACCTTAAATTACTATTAACCTTTTTTGAAGGTTTTTGGTAGCTAGCAAACTATTTTGAGCATTTAGTACTTTTAAAGAATTAATAGTAAAAAATAACAATATTTGTAAATGTTTTATGATTTTATAATAATATAATATTGTAATTCAACTGTAAAGTCTTAAGATCTTTTAAGCCCTTTAAATTTTATATAATTATTTTGTGATTATAATATTTGATTAATAATTATTAATATATTTTTATTAAAATATTCCATTAAAATTTTTTAAGTTCACACGAGCAATTAAGTAGATTTAAAATTTATTTCGGTGCTAACTTTTTTTTTAATTAAAGGATGTGCTTTAGCGGATGCGCAGAACAAGAATTTATTTGTACGCATTTTGATCATTGAGATTTTTGCTTCTGTTATTGGTCTGTTTGGGCTTATAGTTTCTATTATTTTGGTAATCTTTGTATGGCTTATTTAATTATAATATTTATAAGATTTTTTTTCATCGGCAGACAAACAACGCAAAGTTTGGAGATTAAAATAATTATATTAGTTTTTTTTACTTTATAATGAAAAAATGGGCGATAATAAAAAATTACGAGTAAAAATTTTTAAAGATTTATAAATTTTTTTAAAATTTTGCTTTTTCTCTTTAATATAAAAATTTGTGAAAATCTCGACGTTAAATTAATAAAGCCTTAAGAGAAACTTTTTACCCACGAAAACTCTATTATTATTATTTACACTAGCTACATAAAGTGACAATGCTTTTTACCACAGCGTTAAAGGTCAAATTACTCCTTTTGACTATCGGAAGTTAAATAAAACAATTTTTATATTGAATCAATTCTTTTAGCTTTTGTTGATTAATTTATTAAAATAAAGCAAAAATCTTTTTTTTCAAATTTGCTTTAAAGTTTACTAATAAATAGTTTAATATATGAGAGCTGTAGATTTTTTTAGTAGCTAATTTTAAAAACTTTTATCAAATTTATAAATTAAGCGCTTTGTCATGTTGGCATCTTGATAAATCTTACTTCCTTGGTAAAGTTCACTACCTGACGCTCTACGTTATAATATTACCTTACCAATTTTAGCTCTAATTTTTAAATAATATCAATTTAATAATACTAATCAAGTTTACTTTTATTTAAGCACGCAAGTCCCCTATTTAAAAAAGATTTATCTTCAGTAGAAGTAAAAATTATTATAAATTTTTTAACTTGCTCCTCAATTATCAGATAAATATGGAAGGTATAGTGATATTGTATAAATAATAATAAGTAGTCTGAAGAGTTTTTATAATATAATTTAGTTATTTGTCGGAAAAGCGAAGTGTTCAATGCTTTAAAAAAAAAATTAAAGTGCCTCAACCGTAAAACAAAACAGAAACCGTTCTTAGTTCCCCCTACGCTAGAGTATCCTATTCAACGGAACGAATTTCAATACTTTAGTTATAAAAAGTTTAAGCGCACACACTTTTTTATTTATAAAGTAATATATTTAAATTTAAATTCTCTACTAAATTTACTAATTCCTACTTACTTGAGTTTTATTGTATATTTTATCATAAAGTTATTGCGAATTCTAACAACTTGTCCAGAACCTTAATATATTTTACAAATAGAAAATTTATCACTTTTATCAGTTTAATTAGAAATTTTTTTTTAAAAATTATCAAGTATTTTTATTTTGTCTCTATTACTTCAACTAACTTTTAAATTTCGTTATATACTTTTTAAGTTATACTAATTCTAACGCCTTTGCAAAAATCATATGATAATTTATACTATGTCTGGTTATTAAATTGATTAACTCTTGCTTGTCTTCTAAATTTAATTTAATTTTATTTTTTAAAAGGTATCACAATTTCTAACCTCTTTACAAAACCATAAAGTGTTTTATAATTAAATATAATTTGTGTCTATTATTTTAATTTTATAGTTTTTTTGATAATCTTTTCTAAAAAAGTTATAATTTTCATCATCTACGCAGACAAAGAGTAAAGTATAGCGTACGAACTTTTTTGAACTACTTAATTGTCAAAAAGGTTCAGTTCGTTTTAAATGCAATGAAAAAGTCCAGTCTAGAGGAATGAGAAACAAAGCTAATTCCAGTAGGCAAAAAGGTCGTGTGCCTTTTATTTTTAATAAATAAGTAGAAACTCCAAAGAAACTTTGTGTTTAGTCTGTAATCCACCAGGGAAGGAATTATATTCATAAAAATTATCAACACTAACTCATATATCCAAAGCATTACTTTTATATAGTATTGAGTTTACAAAAGAAAGATAAGGTCGATATAAAAAAGTTTAATTATATAATAATATATACATAATTTATAAATTTTTTAATACCTTGGGTGAATAAGTAAAGTGTTAGGGGGTAAATTCTGCAAATATATCGAGGCATTAAATATAGGTGCGCAAAATTTTTTAGGTCAAAAAAGTCGTTCTACTATATATAGTTAGAAGCGTTTTGCTTTGCAGTCCAGGTTCTTAAAAATTAAAGACAAACAAATTCGTACAAAAAGTAAGGCTATAAAAGTAAGCGTGTTAAATTTGCTCATAAACGTTTTTTAGTTAAGCAAAGGAATTTTATATGTAATATTGAAAGTATTCTACGTTTATAAGCTTAAGTTGGACTAACTAAAAAGGCTATTAGCGAAGTTTTAATTTATTACGGTATACTTCAAATTGAACCTAATTTTTTAAGACCAGAGTGAAAGAACTTGGGTAACTTAAAACAAATCATAGTGTTGCGTCATAACTTATAAGTTAAAAAAAAATGAATTATGGTTGATATTTTTTCAAATAATCTATGGTTTACAAATATATTTCCCGTTGATTGACCCTTCAATATATAAATACTAAGATTAGAGGAAACAAAAATTTTTATGCAAAAACTTATAAGGGTAGTGTTACTTAAATATATAATGATGGTACTTCAAACTCCTTAACTTATTTGTTTGGGGTTAACATAAACTCATTGTAAGGTTTTCAGAATATATTGATAACCATTAATTTATTGTTAAAAAAAATTAATATAAAACTATAAAAATCTAACTTTCTAAGAGAAATAGAGTTTTTATATAAAACTATTTATTAAGCATATAATTAAAAACTACAAAAGTGTACTGTAAACAGGAAAGAAGGCTTTTCGGGTAAGTAATAAAAATCGGTTGTTTAAAATAACAACTCTTTTTCAGGTAAAAATGGAAGTAAAACAGCCTCCGGCGGGATTCGAACCCGCAATCTTATGATTCGTAGTCACACGCCCTAACCATTAGGCCACGGAAGCTGCCGGGGCTACTCTGCAAAATATAGTTGTAAAGTTACTAACTGTAGTAGTAATTAGTTTAAATTTTTTACAGAAAGTGTAGATATTAAATAATTATAAAATAATGATAGTATTAATTTTAATTATAGTAATAGGAGAAGAGTAATACTTTTAATAAAATTAAAAAAAAATATAGTACATTAAATCATTAACTTAACGTAATACTAAATTTTTATTAAACTACAAATAAAATAAGTGCTTTAAGCTATATTTTCCATTTGTTAACTATCTTTTTTCTTTTTTAAAAAATAAAATCTACTCTCTTACACTTTCTACAAAAAGAACTAAGCATGACTAATGAATAGTTGTAATTATTTAGCATAAGAATGCCCTCTTATCGATGGTGAGAAGTAATTATTAGTAGTAGTAAATAATGGCTATCTAGATTGTCTTCCGCTTATCCAGAGTTTAAACGTTATCTTGTTAAAAAATGTCCTTGAAGATAGAGAAAAGTAAAAAGTTAACATAAAAAAAGTAAAGAAAAAATTGTAATTAGTTTATAAATTTAAAAAACTTTTCTTATAACATTATTATTATATTATAATTTTATTTACCTCCCAATCCTAAATTTTAAAAAAAGAAAAAGATTTTTATTAAAATATATTAAAAGATTATCTTGTAAGTCTCATAAGAGTTATATCTAATTTTATAATTACTTGTAATTTATTACTATTATATTTTAATATTATTACCTATAAATCTTTTTAAAAGTATTGTTAAACTTTAAGAAAAATAAAAGGTGACTTTTATCATATAAACGATGAATAAAGTGCAAATCATTTCAAGAGTCAGTCTTAATTTTAAAAACTTTACTTATAATTTTTACTATAATAATTTTTAAAATTGTTATAATTATGTTATATTCTACTTTTAATTTTATTTTTTTAACTTCTTAAAACAATGTCGTAGTCGTAATTTTTTTACTCTTGTAAACTTATATATAGAGTTTCGCATATTTTTCTTGTTATAAAAGTAAGACTGGTTTTCTTAAAGGATTTACTAACAACTTCCAAAAATTTCTCTTTAAAAAAGAATTCAACACAACAATTCTTAATAGCATTTTTAAATAAAGAATAGAGAACACAATTTCCCGAAAGCACAATATTTCTTGTTAATTTTTTTTATTTATTGTTTAAATATAACTAATTATAAAAACAAACCGATTTAGAATTTGTATATATACTATTTGTGCTGGTAAAAATTAAGCCAAAATTAAATCTTTCATTTATTATTATAAGACTTCCCGTGCTTTGCCTTCATTTTAAATTGAACTTAAATAATTGTGTTAGTTTTTCATCAATTCTAGAAAAAGTTATTCCTTCTTTTATTATAATTAATTCTCTATACAAAGTGAAGTACGCGTCACTTAGAAGTTTACAATAAAAATCGATAGCGGCTTAATTATTTAAACCCCAAAAAAGATTTTAATGCTGTTTAACGCGAAGAATTTCTTTATAAAAGAAATATGGAAGTCGTTTTTACAGTTGAAATTAAAGTTTCTTGATGAAAGTTGTAGTAAATTTTTTCTCTTTTCCGATGTTCATCTAAAAAGTTTTACTTCGGTTTCTCTAACGTAGAACGAAAAATATAAATTTTAAGTTAAAAATAAGTTTAAAGTAGCCAATCTTTTTTTTAATATTAATCTTATGAAATTTATAACCAGAAAATTATTCAAAAAATTTTTTAGTGTTAAAAAATATACAAGATTTTATTAATCAATTTATTTTACAAAATAGATTTCGTGCTTAATTTTTACAACTTTTGCTTTACAAATTTTAGAGTTTAGTAATTTTGAAATTCTGAAGGCAAAACTTTTTTTAAAAAAATGGCATCTTCTGGTTTTATTCTAAATAAAAAATAAATAATAAAAATTAAATTTTATTCAAAAAAATTTCAAACAAATATAATAAATATATTTTAAGTTAAAAAATCATTCAGTATTATAAATAGTGGCAACAAACAATCATAACATAAATCAATTTAATTTCAAAAAAAAATAATCACAATTTTCTTAAAAAAGATTCTTTTTTTTTTTAACTTTTCGAAATTTTTTTTATTTTTTTTATTTCAACATGATATTCTTTAAGATTTCTTAAAAAAGATTGTAAACTTTTTATAACAATAATAATAACAATAAAAAAATAAATTTTTAAGTTATTAAAAAAGTTATTTACAATTAAAATAAAAAAGTTTTTTAACAATCATAAGAAGAATTTATAATAAAAAAAGTTTCCTTAATATAATAATAAAAATAATTAATAATAATAATAATAATAATAATAATAATAATAATAATAATAATAATAATAATAATAATAATAATAATAATAAATATATATTTTTATAGATGCACAAAAAGTTTACTCTTTTTCTCCTTCTTCAAAAGTATATGAAGAAGAAACAGCCAAAACATCTCCGTTTCCAGTAAATGCAAGAGAAGAAACCCCTTGAGGAAAGCTTAATAATAAAAGTATTAATAATATTGGTAATAATAATGCTATTATAAAAATAATAATGGTAATAATAATAATAATAGTAATAATAACTTTTCAAGGCGTTGTATTTTTCGCTTAGCGCAAAGGTCCCAAGAATAAACCTTATCAAAAATAAAAAAATAATAATAATATATGAAAAATAAAGTTTCATTTTATAATATAAATATCTAGTAATAATCATTATTAATATATTTATAATACTTTTAAAAGTTTTTTACATAAACCAGTAATAAAAATTTTCTGATAATAACTATATAATAATATTTATGATTTATAATATTTTCCTCAATTTTTATATTTAAATGGCAATAAAATTTTCAATAAATAAGAAAGAAAAAGTTTTATTATGTTTTTATAAGACATTATATTATTTATAGAAGTTTCTTTCAGTTATATATAAACATATTTATATAAGTTTCAATAAAGGTTTGTTATGTATAATATTTATTATAAAACTTTCTGAAGTTTTTTATAAAAGTAATATTGAACGTTTTAAAAAAAAATTATAGAATAGCAATATATTTATTATTTATAATACTTTATATGAATTTATAAAATTTTTTTATAAATATTAAGAAAAGTTTTAATATACATAAGAAATAAAAAGATTTATTATTTATAAAAGTTGTTTGTTACAAAACTTATAATAAAAGTTTTAAATAAATATTTAATAATATTATTTATTATTTATGATATTTTGTATAATTTTTTATAGTTTTTCGGAAATATGATTAAAATATAAAGAAGTAAGCGCTTTAATAAAAGTTATCTAATATTAATTATGTATAAAAATTTTTTATACGACTATTTAATTTTTTTTAAAAAAAATATATAACTATTTATTATTAATAAAAGTAAACATAATAAAAGAGTTATTATAAATAATAGTTATAAATAATATCTTTAGTAGTTTACATATTATTAATAAATAGTAAAATAATATATAAAATATAAGCATAAGTAAAATTTTCTTATTTGTAAATAATAATATAATTTTATATTAATATTAAAGTTATCACTATAAAAAAGTTTATAAGTTATAAATAAAAAGAAAAAAATAAATAATAAAATTATCAGGATAGTAAATATAAATGTATATTAGTATTTTATAAATATAAATATAAACATAAAAAATTATTAAATATTAAAGTTTACCGTTTTTCATTTTTTTATTAAAAAAAATTTACTACATTTACTGCTTAATAAGTAGTTTATTACTATTTATAAAAATTCGAGAAAATATTAAGTTTTACTGTACAAAAAAAAAATATAATAGTATTAATAAAAGTGAATAGCAATATTTAATATCTATTGGAGTTTGCTTATGTATTAATTATTGAGTATAATTGTACAAAGTATTTTAGAAGTGATATAAATATAAGTATAATAAAAGTTTGTTTAGTGTTCATACAATAATAAACAAAAAAGTTTTAATAATTTACTGAAAAACTTTTATATATTTCTTAAAAGTCTCATGTAGAATTATTTTAATATTCAAAAGACTAAAAATTAGTATATAAGCAACAAGGATGGAAGTTATCATAATTTTTAATAAATAAATTTTCTAAATAAAGAATTATATTTTATTTAAAATAATATTCATTATTATTTTATTTGGAACAAGCGGGTCATTGGGTGGTACGATGAGTCACGCGCTGGGGCACCGGGTTACGCCAGCAAAATGCAGTAAAAACACTGAAAATGTCAACATTCACCAATAAGAACCGATAAAATGCTCTTTTGCGAACACAGAATATAGCGCTACAATCGAGGTACACTACACCTGCTAGTTAGTAAGAGAGTGAAAGACTGACGTAATGAGCGAGGGCAATACTCTTATTTACGAGGGGAGGTCATTTGTATTCTCTTTTTGGTACCTTTTCTGTATTTGGATTCGTTGGGTAAAATAGGCAACATAATTCTATGATTCCTACTGGCTACGTGTCCGTTTTCGACACTCTACTGGTCGGTATACGGCCAGAAACGGCGCGAATATATATAATATATTGGATAATAACACTATCATTTTAGTATAGCAAAAAGCGCAGTCAGCTAGGCCACACCGTTTACTCCATAGTTCATTAAAAAAAAAAAAGTCGGCGCGTTTCTCCCTGTTAGTGCGTATCTTTTCCTTAGTTGAGGCTTACAACTCATAACTTCGAGGCAGAGTCTTGAGTCGATAAGCCCTTCCGTACTATACAAAATTAAAGCAACTTTTATTATATTTCTTATTATTATTTTTAATTATTAATCTGTTAATCTTGTATTGAACTTACTATCCCTCTTTTTATTAACGCGTTCGAAGTGAATTGTATATTATTCTGATACGATTATTACACGTTTCGTACATTTTTAGATTCGTCCCAGAATTTTATAAGAATATGTTAATTATATATTCCATTCTTATTGATATTTTTTAAGCTGTGTAATATAACTTTTATAACAAGTTTATTAGGGTGAATTAAGTAATAATGATAATATTTCTATAAATATTTTAACCAAAATATAATATAAATGTTTTTTTTATTTATTTATAATAATATTCAATTTTTCTTTGACTTCAAAAAAATTTCATTATAAATTAAATTTTTAATATAAAATAAGTAACAATATTATTAATTATATTTTTTTAATACTTTTTAAAATAATAAGTTATAATAAAAACAGTTTTTATGTTTTTTTTAAAAAAAATGTAAAAAAGGTATTTATAAAAAATAATTAACAATAAAAAAAACTTATCATATATTCATAGTATTACTCAACTTTATATAAATTAGTTAACAATATAAAAAAGTTTTATATTTATTTCTAATAATATTCAAATTAATATAAAGTGAGAATAGAAAAGTTGTTAATATTTTCTAATAGAAAATATATTTAATATAAATATTTATATACGTAATAAGTAAAATATAAAAAACTTTTTATATCTATTCATGGTAATAACCAAATTTATATAAAAGAAGCAACAATGAAAAAGTTATTAAAAAAATCCAATATATAATAATAACTGTTTTTTTATTTATATAATATAAATAAAAAAAATTATTACAATATTTTTAATTATAAATAAGTTTAATATTATAATAATTTATCTTTATTTATAGAAATATCCAACTTTATATTTTTTAATAAAAATATACTTTCCATGAAAGTTCGTTAAAAATTTGTTTATTATAACAAATAATATTAAAAAAAGAATAACGTAGAGATATAAAAATAGAAGTAATCAGTTTATTTACTCAATAATACTTTTTTAAATATAGTATAATAAGTAATAACTATAATTAAAAATGTTCTTTATTATGTTTTCTAATATATTCATTAATATTCATTAATATTGTATATATTGCTATAAAAAAGTTTGAGGTGTTATTATTTCTTATTTTTAAAGTTTAAAATTATATATTTATATTAAAAGTTATTTTCATAATAAATTTGCAAGAAAAAAAAATTGTTTCAAAATATTGTTAAGGTATTAAAAATATTATTAAAAACTTCTTGTGTATGTTATTTTGTATCTACTTTTTCTATATTTCAAAAAAATTATGCATTATTATTATAACATAAAATTTCAGAAAGTAATGAAAATTATTTGGATATTGTTATTTACATAAAAGGTTGCATTAAAAAAAATTGTGATACATAATTATTAGTGATATAAAATAATTTATAAAATTTAAATATGTTTTTTCATATCACTTTTTTTGTATATTTATTTATTATTTTAATAAAAATAGTTCACAACAATACTAGTTGAAGTTAATTTTACATTATATTATTTTTACTTATAATAAATATCATATAAAAATATGAAAGACAAACAGTTCCGTCACTGCCTCCAGTAGCCAAGGTGTGGTAAACTGGATGGAAAGCTAAAGCGTTTATTGGATAAATGGTGGGCACCCCTATGAACCAAAAATAATGAAAAACTTATAAGTAACGCACAGAAAATTGTTTAACTTTATAAAATAATATTTATTATTGCTTGTAAATAATTAATTTTTATAAAAAATTGTTATTTTAAAAATAATTGATTAAACATCTAAAAAAGAAAAGTTTAATATTTTATATATATATAAAATTTTAAAAGAATTTTAAAAATATAAAAATAATATCGAGAAATATACACAAAGTTAAAAAAATTTAAAGGACTAATAGAGTTTTTTAAGCAAATTAAGAAAATTGATAAAAAAGAAAAAAAAAATATAAAATTATAAGAAATTAGTTTTGTATGGATAAAATATTTATTAATTTCTATTGGACAGGAAAATATTCGGGTTTACCTGAACTTATGAAGTTTTTTTTGTTAAGAAATTTGTGTACAGCAATACTTATAAAGTATGTTACGGCTTATTAGTAGCAAATTTTCCTACAAATAACACAATAAAAATAGTAGTACATAAAATTACCACTAAAAATTTTCAAATCTAAATTTTAGCCAATAAAAATATAATAAACGATAAAAAGTCTAATTAGCATTTCTGATTGGACAAAACAATAAAAGACGCATCATTTTTTACTAAACGCTTGAATTATGTGGATGAAAATAGTTATAAAAAATAAAAAGTTTTATTTGTTGATACTCTATAGTTCTTAAAAAATAACTTTTTGTCCAGTAAAATTATTTTTAAAAACAATAAAATGTAAATACTAATAAATAGTGAAAACTTTTTATTTTTTATTAATTACCTTTTTCCCAATAATATATCAATTTCTACGGCACTATTAAAAGGGCACTAACTTACCTTTTTGTAGCAATTACTTCTGAACATATAAATAAAGTTTATTGTTTCCTTCATTATCCAAAACGAAAGAAGTCCAGCAGCAAAATAATGATAACAACGATGATAATATATAATTTGATTGGTTAAAATAAAATAAATAAAACTTTTTATTGTTGCACCGCTACTACTTTAGATTATATAATATTGTCTGCCGAAAAATTTATAAATAACAGTTTTTATATTTTACGAATTTTTTATTTTATAACTTTTTTTATTTTATATTAATTTTTAAGACGTAATTATAAGCAAATAAAATAATTTTTATTTTTCCATTAATAAGAAAATATTTAATAAAAAAATTCTCACCAAAACTGTTTTTAATAAATAAATTTGATGAATTGGAAATAATGAAAATGTAAATTTTTTAGCCAATACGGATTTGAAAAGCTTTTTCTTTAAATTTGCAAGATGATACGAAAAATTTGGCCAATAAAATGTGTGAATTTTTATTCTCCAATAAAAATAATACGCGAAAAAAGTGATAAAAATATTTTATAAAATTTTAAATAATTTTTTTTTCGACCAAATATAAGTTTTTTTAACTATTTTTTTCCCATTTTATTGGCTTAAAGACAATTTTAAAGAGTCTATCAATAAAGTAAACCCGATAATAAATATATACAATGATAAAGAAGAAAAAAGTTCTTTGCTATTTTTTATAAAAAGTAAATAAAAAAATAGTTTTTACTATAAAATTGATATCTATATAAAATATTATAATATTTTTATATAAAAAAATAAAAACCATCTTTCACACTTCGATGGCACTTAAAAGCATATCGCTTTGATTGAGAGTTCAGATCAAAAAATTCAACAGCCACTCGCCCTTCAATGGAGCAGTGCGCATAGCCTTTTATTATTTATTATTTATTATTGTTTTTACTACTATTTATTATTTATTTATACACTAATTATTAGTATTATAGTAATGAACTACAACTTTTATAACTGTTTTTTATAAGTATAATATTTTATTGTTTTAATAAAGAAAGTACTCGTTAGTGCTGAGTATTATTTTACTTACGTAATTGCGCGTTAGCATTGTTATACAAAAATATTTTATATTATGAATATTTTATTATTTTATTATTATTATTATAATGAAAATAGTAATTTTCGCACACATTATTTTTACTACTAATTATTTTTTATTTCAATATTTTATTATTTTATATAATTTATTGTTTAAAATAATATTCATTAGTAAAATTATAATAATTTTTTACTTTAATAAGTGCGCATATTATTATTATTATTACTGTAATTATGTGTAATATTGTATTTTATTAATTTTGTTGTTATATTATAGTAAAAGCGCATATTGTTATTATTAAAATCATTATTACTGCAATAAAATTTTTTATTTCAATATTTTATTATTTTCTAAACAATATTTATGTTATACTAACACTATTATACTTAAAAATTGCGCATTCTTATTATTATAATAATTATTATTTAGATTACTGCATTATAATTATTATTTATTATTATATTAATATTGTTAGAATATAATATTATATTATAATAGTTATAATAACTATTATAATTATTAATAGAATTATAATAGTACTATAATATTAACGATTTCTTTTAATATAATTTTCTTTAATAAAAAATATTCAACAAGCAACGTTTTTACTCTTTCTCTAATAAATTTACTTTATTGCTAAACTAATTATAAAAAGTAAAAAAAAGAAATGCAAAATAATTTCCTTCTAACAAAATTATTATATCATTTATTTCTTAAATGATTTTCAGCTTTTAATAGAAAAAAATTAAAAAATTCTAATAAAGTACTTGAATATTAAAAAAAAATATTAATATCATAATAATTTTCAATAGTTCAGTAAAAAAATAATATAAAAACTTTATTTATATAAAAATAATTGTATTTGCTATATAAAACTTAAAACCTATAAAACTAATTAGAAAATAAAATTTTTATTAAAAAAAATACACAATTTTAATAAAGTTTCTATATTAAATCAAACGTAAGAATAATTTGTATTAAAAAAAAATGTAACGACTTTTTCTTTTTAATATTAAAGTAAATAATACACTTAAAAATTTAAACATTTTCAAAAACAACTTAAAAATTTACTAAAAAAGTTTTTGTTAAAAAAATTTATTTTCAAAAATTAATAATTTTTTATATGTATAAAAAAATTAAATAAAAATATGTTGAGACTTTCTAAATAGTAAAATTCAAAATATTGAGAATAAGTATAAAATTAGTAATAGAAAATAAAAAAGGTGCGAAATTTAATAATATTGCAAAGAAGTTAAGGTGAACTGTGACGGAGAAAAAAAGGAGGAGTGCATAAAATATACAAAATGTTGAAAATGTGGGACAAACATAGGGGCACGTGCTATGACAGGTGACAAGGATATATGTAAACGTGCTTCATCAAAGTCAACTCCAACATTTTACGAGTAAAAAGTAAACATTAACTAATTATAACAAAATATCTTTATAAAATTAATATATAAAATAGTAATAATTTTTTTATAGAAGGAAAATGTTAAAAATCTTTTGAAAAAAATAATAAAAAGTAAATAAAAAATAAAATTTAACTTAATATCATGTAAAGTTTATATAAATAAAATTATTATTAAAAATATTTTATTAAAATTATAAATTATTACGAAACTTTTTCATAAAAATTTAAAATTAATTCAATAAAATAAGTGAAAAATGTAAAGTTCATTAAAAAAATAATTTACTAATAAATTTTATAAATTATAATTTATATATATTAAAATATTAAAAAATAATTAAAAATAAAATTTATATTTAACACAAAACTATTTTTTTATAATGTTTATTAATAAAAAAAATAATAATCATTTTTATAATTTAAAAGAAAAAGTTGATATGCATAACAATAATAAAAATTTATTATAAAAAAATATTAGTGCTGTTCATATAAATATTATAATTTATAAATTTAGACATAAATATAAAGAAAATAAAAAAAGATTTTTATATTAATAAAAATACTTTTTTCAAAAAATTAAAATTTCAAATGCAAAAATGTTTATTATTGAATTAATAAAAAAATATAATAGAAAGTAAAAAATACGACTTATTAGCTTCAAATAGTTGTAGATTTTTAAAATTCATAAGTATTACTAATTTTTCAATCATTCCTTAATAAATAAAAAAATTAATAAATTTAAAAAATATTATAAAAAGGAAATCTTATGATATGTTCTCCGTATAAATAATTTCATACCTAAACTTTACAGAATTACTATTTATAAAATATAATTAAAAATATATATATAAAATTTTAAAAAAAAATTTAGTATTTTTTTTTTTTATTAATTAATGGTTTCCTTTTTTTTTTTTATAGCTTTACTATAAAACTTTTTTACTTTACTTGAATTCCAAACAGATTTTTCTAGATAAAAGCAGCAAATTTTAGGAGTATAAATAGTTTAATAACTACATAATCTGAAACTATTGTTTATATATTATAAAATAAAAATATACATAAATTCTTAAATTGATTTAATATTTTTTTATCGTAAATTTATTATTTTCCTTTTTTAAAGTTTTATTAAAAAACTTTTTAACTTTCACCTAAACCAAAACAAAAACCAAAACAAATTTTTCTAAGCAGCAAATATACGGTATTAAAGTTAAATAATGTAAAAAATAAAATTATTTATAATTTATATATTTTAATAAATTTAATGTAATATCCTCTTAAAATTTCCTTCTTTAAATAAGTTATTAGAAAACTTTTAACTTTTAACCAGATCAATTTTCTTATACCTTTTCCAACAGGAGAGCAACAACTATAAGAACTACTAATAGTTTAAGCTTTATCATTATTATTAATATGTATAAATAAAATGCAAAATTAGAAATTACTTTTTTTGTATATTTTTTTAATTTTGTGATTCTCTTTTTTTAATAAAAATTAAAATTTTTCTAGTTTTCAACTAAATCAAAACCAATATTTTACCTTTTCCATTGAGGAAGCAACAAATATAACGAGTTTGATGCTTTAGAGAACTCTCTCTTTTCTGAATTGGATGGGAAGTATTTCTCAAATCCCAAATCCACACGTGACGGGAGGCGGTCCCCACCACCAAATAATTCTCGACGGTGCTTAAAGTATATACCCTTGAAAAATTAATTATTTAAAATCTTAAAAAAAAAAATTAATTTTAGTTACTATTATTATAAGAATAAATTTATAGCATATATAAATTATTTTCATAAATTCCCGTGGGCTTGACTTATTACAATATGTAAAAGAATATTGTTAAAAAATAAAATAATTGTAAATTCAACTTTATTATAATGCTGTTAATAAATAATTTGTTAGTTTGTTAGCACATAATAACTTCAATATAAATTTTTTTAAATTTCTTTTTCATAAAAGTATTATTTTGAAACTAATTTTTTTTCTTTAATTTCTTTGTGTTTAGAATTTAAATATTAAACTTTAAGTTTTATTATACTTTTTATTATAAATTAATAATACTCTGTTCACATAAAAATGTAAAATACAACTTTGATAAATAACCTGTCGGGTTGCTGTAAGGTTGAAATTAATTTAAATTCTAAAGATTGTGGATCCCAAATTCGGATAGTTCTATCCCAACTTCCAGTCAACAACTGGTTATCTTTTTATTTAAAAAATTATATAATAAAATATATTACAAAAAAAATGAAGTCAATTAAATATAAAACTGTTTAATTTAAACGTTAAATAAACTTGCGAGGTTTATTAAACTTCACGCATCTTATAGTGTCGTCGTGATTGCCAAAACTTTGAACCTTATTTTGAGCTATGTTTACTCTATAATAAGATACTCAATATAGGTGATAATAAAAATATATATGCTGCTCACAAATTAACTCTGTTATCCATGCCCACCGAAGCCGCTTCATCTTTGTTATAAGTAAAACAGCAGTCCAACTGGGGCCCTCCTAGCTCGAATTTCTGTAGTAATTTTCCATCTTTACTGTCATATAGATATAGGCCCTTTTATTTATATATTGTTAGTATATAGTAATTAATTTAATTTTTTTTTTTAATAGTTTTACTTTATCCCAAGAGGAGGCAATTAAATGATTTGAATCAGTAGAAAAGTGCAGATTAGAAACTCCATCTGTTGGCGCTTTAGAAACTGTTAACATTTTAGTTTCTGTAAAAGAAATAATTTTTAAGGTATAACAAAAAAAACACAGCTCCGTTGAAAGAAGTATCTTCTTTACACACTTCCTCGACACTGAATTTATAAATAAAGGACGAAAAAAGGAACAATGCCGGCTGTGAGGTTCGAACTCACGCAGACGTTGTCTATTCGATCTTAAGTCGAACCCCTTGGACCACTCGGGCAAACCGGCTGGCCTACTACACGGCCTATTATTGCATTTTTATTTTTTTATTTACGATAGCATGATTTGTGTGACATGCTTATTTAAAACCTTTTTCCTGCGGCCCCTTCTTTCTTTGTACTTTGCATTTATAAATCCCTTTTTTAATAATAAAAATTCGTGTATAAAAGCGTTTATTGTACACATTTTATTCTACCTTTTAGGATTTACAATTCTCGTTACTGGTCAATTTTATTTCTTAAATTTTCTTCTCGTAATAATAGTGATAAAAAGTACATACAGTCAAAGAAACTTTGTGCTGTTAAATATAAATTTTATTATAAATTTATTTAATATTAACATTTTTGCTTAGTCTTTTAAGTTGGTATATAATAATTTTTTAACTTATATTTTATATAATGAATAAAGTAACTACTTTGGTTTCTATAACCTTTTTAGATTATCCTGTTACAACTTAACTTAAAGTGATTTAATCAGAATCTGAATACTATGTTTCAGTTATTCAATAAATAGTGAATTCTTTAATAGTAAAGTAGAAATTAAAAGTACCTATTTTTTAAGGTGCTGATAAATGTTTTTATATAATTATGTTTTTAAATGTTCTAATATTTTGGGACTTGAAGAATAGGGAGAATGGTCAAACCAAATTATAGAATTTGTTACACATTGCGGGTAAGTTGCTCAATATAAATTATCTACTGAATATTATAATTAGTATTAAATTTTCATTTTCGTAAAGAAATAAATACACTTTTTATCTTTCTAACTAAAGTTTGGCACTTTATGAATTTTAGCAAATTTTTGATGTTAGCTTACTATATATTATGTACTTTCCTAGTTTTTTTTTTAAATATTTATAAATAATGCATTTCTTTCGTTTAACATAACTGGCATAAATTTTACTGCTTCCAATTAATTTTAATGGCAAGTTTATTTGCCGTCTTATTTAAATGAAAAAAAATTTCTGATTCAAGTTTTATCTTAGTTTTAAAGATTTAGTATTTCGTTTTTAACTTTTTATAAATTAGTAATAAATAAATATTATAATTTTTGTACAACAAACTTTATAGTTTTATACGAAATTTACGTTTAAGTAAAAATTATTTGTTTTAAATTATTTCAATTAAAGAAGAACTTACTAGGGCGAAGCAATTTTAAAAAACAATTGCTCTAAAATTATTTTATTAATTATTTCTTACAAGTTTTTAAAACAAAGAAGTTGCTAATATTATTTTTTATATTTTAATTATAACTTTGTACAAGTATTTAAGTTAGTCCTTTTAAAATATCTTTTTTTAATAAAAAAATTTATATATAAAAATAATATTTCATTAAAGATAAGTTTCCTTAAAAAAAAAGTAAACGTGAAAAGTTTTTTTATTAGAAAACTTAATTGTGAGTTTCTATCAAGTTATTTATGATATATAATACTAATAATGCAATACACTATTTTAATTAAATTAATTTTATAACTATGAAGTCATAAATTTGGGCTTCTGAAGATCATTTAACTTATTTAACAATAATTTATAACCAGAAGAATTAAATTATAGTTTATATTTCTTTTCAATATTATAAAAAATAACTGATTATTTAAGTTTTCTTTAAGTTACCTCTGTTTGATAAACTAATAATATAATTTAGCTCAATTTTAATTTATTAAATTTATTTCGAAATAATTTATTAATTTTTAATTTAATTTTTATAACATTAGAACTCAAAAAAAAATTAATTTATTAACTTAACTTATTATAAACATAGATGTAATTAGTTTGGGGTCAAGGAAGATCTTTTAAAAATATATGACTTAATAGAAATTTTTACCTATAGAAAATTGGTTTCCTTAAAATTAATTGGAGAAATAAAAATATTTTATATAATTCAACTAATTTTTCAATTCTAACAAATCATTTTTGAAAAATAATTTAAAAATAATTTGTATTGATTTAAAGTAAAATAATTTCTGACTTTTTAGTAGTAAAATTAATTTGGAGCCATTATAGATTATTTAGTTTATTAAAAACAAACTTATAACTAGAAACATTTCTTTAGGGACATAGAAGATCCATTTCCTCAGTAAAATTTAGTCCTGATGGTTGTTGGCTGGCCAGTTCTTCAGCGGATTCCACTATAAAAGTTTGGGATTCTCAAAACGGACAATTTTATTTAACCCTGGAAGTAAATTTTTTTTATACTATAAAAAGATGTTAAATTGATTCTTTTTTAAAAAAAATAAATTTTAAAATCGTGACCTTTAAATTTTTTGCAATCGATATTAGTTTTATTAAGAGTTGTTTAGAATTATATTTTTTTTAAAAATATTTTTAGCTTTTAGAAAGTTTTCTATACGATTGTAAAAGATTACTTAATAACTTCTTATTATATTTGATTTTGTTGATTTGATTAAAAAAATTGTGAATAATTCAATAATAAATTTTTATTTACTATAATTCATTTGTCCATTAATATTTTTTCCTTAAAAAATAGTTCACAACTATAGAAACTTAATATTTTTATATCTTTTATAATTTACTATAAAATTTTGAAGGGGCACAGCGCTGGGCTGAGTGATTGTTGCTGGTCTTCTGATTCGCGCTACCTTGCCAGCGCCAGCGACGATATGTCCATTAAAATTTGGGATTTTAATGAAGTTTTCTTTATATATATATTTTTTTAGTTTCACGCTTTTTTGGGTTATAAAAGTTACTATAAAATTCTTTACTAATTTAAGAATTCTTATTGGTTCTTTTAAACTGTTTCTATTGGGTGTCACAATATTCAGGGTATCTGTGTGAGAACGCTTATTGGCCACGGCGGATACGTTTTTTGCGTAAATTATAATTATCCATCCAATCTTCTTGTCTCTGGCTCTTTCGATGAAACGGTACGACTATGGGATGTTCGGGTAATAATAATAATAATAATAATAATAATAATAATAATAATAATAACTAATAATAACTAATAATAACGATAGACTTTTCATATAACTTTAATTTATTTATTATTATCACTTTTTTATAAATTATTTTGGCTTTTATTATAAAATTTTCATAAAATAGCAATTTTAATATATTATTAAGTACTTATATACTATAATACAATTTTTAATAGAACTACGCAAACATTTAATTATGAAATATAATAAAACTAATAATAAATATATAATCTTCGTTTAATATTGATATAATAATAAATTATTAGTAGTAAATGTAAAATTTAAGAATAAATATTATAATATATATATAAACTTTTACTGCTGCTTTAAAAATTTTTTTTAAAGTTTTATTTTAAAAAACTTTTTTTATAGTTTTTTCCAGCCAAATTTTTATTTTAAATTATAATATATTCATAATAATAATATAAATATTAATTTTATACAAAATAGTAATTATTAAAAAGTAAAATTACAATAAACAAGCACATCTTTTATTATATGATTAAAATATATTATATTGTTTTTATTTTTATACTTGTTATTACGATTTTCTATAAGAAAGTATAAAACTTGTGGATGAAAATAATTATTATTACTAAGTATAAAAAAAATTTCTATACTATTTTTATTATTTTTACTTTTATACGAATATTTATGCAGGCGAGGATGTACTTATGTTTTTTAACTTTTATTGTTTATAATAAAAATAATTTATAAAATATTTATTTAAACTACTTCAGATAGAAAAATTTTTAAGATCTATTTATATATAATTTTAACAAAAAGTAAAAAAATGATAATTTAAAAAATTATTAACTCAAATTTTTAATATTATAGTAAATAAATAGTATTATATCAACGTATTAATATTGAATTACAGAAAACTTTTTTCATCCAGTTTTTTTTGTATTAAAAATTATACTATTATGAAAACTTCAAACGTTAAAAAAAAAAAGAAAAGTATTAATAAAAGTTTAAAAATAGTGAATAAAAAAATTTTTAACGCAACTTTTTATATAAAAAGTAAGCACATTGTTACTTATACTTATTATTATTGATAGACAGGAAAGTGCATAAAAAGTCTGACGGCCCACTCCGATCCCGTCACGGCGGTCGACTTTTCTTGCGATGGCACGCTGATCGTCTCTTCGAGCTTCGATGGAATTTGGTTAGTTTTAAAAGAATTTTTGATTGGATGAAACATTTCATTGTTTAGATTTATAATGTAAAGTTTTTTAGTGGTTTTTTTGTTTACATCATTAACATGTTTATATATTTATAATAATATTTAAGTATAATAAATAATAGTAATGAAATCATTAAAAAAACTTTATCATAGTATAGTCAACTTTGTTATATTAAAATTTACTAAGCAAAAATTTTATTTTTACTTGTTTATATTCTTATAAATTAATGCTCAAGTAAATTTTCAATGTTATTATTATATATTTTTTTAAGGAAAGCATTTAAATAGAAGTACATAATAACTTATTAATATTCAGTCGTGTGTGGGACACTTCGACTGGCCAGTGCCTGAAAGCTTTGCTTGAAGATAGCAATACTCCAGGTTTTTTCTATAAATTATATTAAAGTATTGCTAATATAATGATATATATTAAATAAATAACAATAATAAATATAGTAAAAGCAAAACTTTAACAGTATCTTTTCAAGTATACTAAAAGGGTTGTGCTTGGTTAGTGGTTTCTGGGCGGTCTTCGCACATAAAGTATAATGAATAAATGAGATAATTAATATTATTAAGAGAAAGTTATTTTTATTTAAGCAAATGATAATAATTATGTAATTGTTTCTTATCTTTACTGCTTTATATTGAAAATTATAATATTTTGTAATAATTTTATTTTATTTTATTATATTAATTTATATAAATAGTCTCTTTTGCAAGGTTTTCTCCCAACGGGAAGTTCCTTCTTGTAGGGACTTTGAACGGGTAGTTTACAATATTATACTTAAATCTTTTTCTTACTTAAAGTATTGTACAAAACTTTCTCTCCCATTATGACTATTTTTATATATTAAATTTTTTATTTATTACATGTATATATAGATTAAATATATATATTTATGTAGTCTTACTTATCTTTTATTTTCATGATGAACTATTTATAAAATTTTAATATTTTAATGCTTAAACAATTCACACTTAATTATAATTAATTTTTTTTACTTCTTTTTATTTATTTATTATTATTATTATTATAAAGTTTATTATATGTTATTTTACTTGTTTAGTATATTTAACGTGAATATCAGTTACTACATTCCTCTTTTTTGTATTATAAGCCAATCAATTTTTTTATAATTAAACACTTTCTCATTGGTTGTTATTTATTTAAGCACTAAACATTATTTTTTGTATATTTTAATGCTAAAATTTTTGGACTTTTACTATTAATATATATTATTATTAATTTCATAATTTTTCTTAAAAGCTAATTATTTTATTAATAAAAATCTTTTTATTGGTTAGTTTTATTAAAGCTTTTAATAACTACTTTAAAATATATTTGTCTTTGTTTATAATTATGGTCATAGTCATTAATATTTTAAGCTTGCTATAGTTCTTTAAACAAATCATATCATATTATAACTAAATCATTTTTAGCCATATTTTATAATTTTTCTGAATATATTTGTATATATTCCTTTAATGCTTTTATGTTATAAATATGTTAACCAATCAAACGTTTGTTATTGCCTGGTTTTTTATTGGCCAATTAATTGTGTCTTTAGTGCTTATATTTTTTATATTAAATATATATTTTTTTTTCTTATTTTTTTATTATATTACACACTTAAAACCTGCATTTTTATGCATGAATCTTTATTTTTCATTAATTTTGTAATATAGTCCAACCATATACCTTATAAATAAAACAATTTTCTATTGGTAAGTCATGAATTTTATTATAAATACTTTTTTTGTCGTTATTAAATATTAACATTCTTTTTTTCCTGTTAATTATTTAAATATTAGCCAATCACAATTTTATTAATTAAACAATTTGTTACGTTTTTTTGTTTATTGTTAATATTATATTTATATAAACCAATCACTCTCGTTTTAATTTAAGCAAATTGTTATTGGCTAGTCGTTTACGTCTTTGGGACTATATTAACGGCAAATGTCTTAAAAAGTATTCTGGCCACGTGAATTCGACTTATAGTATTTTTGCAAACTTTAGCGTTTCTGGTGGCAAATGGATAGTAATTATTATTATATGCATGACATTTTTTTTAACTTGCTATTTATTAACTTATTACTATTAAAAAAGCCAACTAGCGTTACAAATATTTTTTCTTTTTTATTTATATTATTTATTATTATTAGGTAAGCGGAAGCGAAGATAATAATATTTATTTGTGGGATCTTCAAACAAGAGAAGTTGTTCAAATACTTGAAGGCCATTCAGGTTGAATTTTTTTTTAATATACTTTTCTCCTTTTTTTCAAAAGCAACTGCCTACCTTTTTCATATTCAAAAGTGTTACTATTTAATTTTTTATTATACTAAGTATTTTTATAAAAATTTGTGCCACAATAATAAATATTTAACTGTAAAAGTATTAAAAATTTTGGTAAAGTAAAAACTTTTTTACCATATCAAGCTATTTTTTATTTTCTTTACTGAAATAAAGTTTATTTAATTTAATTTTCTAAAAAGAAAAAAATTTACAAAAGAGTTTGTAGCTTTTGCCCCGGTAGCAACTCTGCATTGTTGTTAACTGTTGGATTATTTTGGTTGAGAGTAGATGCAAAATTTTTTGTAAGTATTTAATTTTTTTATAAAAAGTTTGGACGAATTTAGAATTTTTAAAAAACTTTGAAGAGGTAGAACAGGAGGATATGTGGTTTTTGTGCTAATTCTAATCTATATAAAAAATAAATATTTTATAAAAGTAAATTGTATTTAATAAACTCCGGAAAAGTATAAATTATAACGAATTTAGAAGAAAGAGATCCTTTATTATCTAGGGGGCGCTTAAAAAACTTCGCAACGCACAGATTTTTGTCTAATTTTTTAAAAATGATAGCAAAAACTGAAATTTTTATTAAATAATTAGACAAATCTAATTTACTACCAAAAAAAGATTTCAAAAACTATGAATTATTAATGAGAAAGTTAATAAATTTCAAATAAAGGAAAAACTAGGGGTTAACAAATTTATTATTAATTAATTTTAAAAAGATCTTTTCTTGTATAATTCGAAATGCCCAAATTAGTTAAGATTGCATTGCTTTTGTAAGAGGTTTACGTGCCTTCCACTCCCACTTCAGTAGTTTTTAGCTTTTATAAGTTATTAATACTTATAAAAATCCGCTATAGTTTCCTAAGAGTTATTTCTGAAACAATCTATGAAATAAAAATTTTTTTTAAGAAAAATTCCCATAAATATGTAAGTCATTAAAATAATTTAAAACTTGAACGCAACGAGTATAATATTATTTGAAATCTCAAAAATAAAATTGTAACCTATAAAATTGTTAGTCATTCAGAAATTTTGAAACACAATTGCAAAAGAGATTAAGATTATTAGTGGATTATAAAAAATTATTATTTAAAAAGTAATTTTATTAGTTTTGTAGTTCTTTTTTTATTTTTAAAAAATGAACGCAATATCAAATAATGAAGAAAAAATATGAAAACCCTAAAAAAAAAATTTTTAAAATATTTCTGTTAGGTTTTGATTCTTTCAATAATTTACTAGTGCCGTATAGAATTAATTAAATAATGAAAAACAAAAAAAAGTTACACCGAGAAGTACGATATGGTCTTTAGTTTGTAACTTTTTTATAAAAAAATAATATTTGTAGATGAAGTTAAAAAAATAATTTCCAGTATTTTGCTAGTCATTCAATAATTTTTAAAATATGAATGCCATATAAACTTAAATTATTTAAAGAGAAAACAAAAAAAATAGGTATGACAATTGTTTGATAAAAGTAGATTAGTTAGTGAAGTTTAAAAAAAATTCCAGTAAGCCATTCAGTATTTTTAAACATACAAATGCCTTATAAATAAGATCTAATTAACAAAGAGAAAACAAAAAAAATAGAGAAACTTGCTGTGGTAATATTTTAACTTTTCATTATAAAAAGGTGGTCTTAAACAAAATTTTAAAATTAAAATTTTTAGTAGTCACCTAATCTTTCAATAATTAGAAAAACTATCGCAATATAAGTATAATAAAAAAAAGTTTTAGCCCGAAAGGCTCGTTAAAACGATGCCATTAATCTTTTAAATTATAGTGAATTTATATAAAAAAATATATTTCTTAAATAAGTATTACTTTTAGGAATGCTAAATCAATGTTTTTATTAAAAAAAGGAGTGGGAAAAAAGTTAATCTGAGACTCTGCCATACTAAAATTTTATTCTTTTCATAAAAAAAATTATATAATAAAATCTTTCTATATGTTTTTTAAAAAAGTCTAAGCAATTCTTCATAAAACTCGTAGTTAATCTCAAACTTTTTTTTCTAGCGAAAAATTGTAAATCCATAGCAGCCGGCTCATTTAATAATATACAAATATAATAAAAAAGTTCAAAAAAAAATTAAATATTTTATCTATTATTTTATATCTAGGTATAACAAGAATTTAATAAAATCTATTTATAATAGTAATATTTAAATATTTTTTTCTCATCTAGGTGTGTTGGTTTTTAAAATTAATTAAAAAAACCCATAGAACTTTATTAAATCTTCTAAGATTCTAAACATCTTTATTTTATACTACTTTGTGGATTATATAATGGTATATGCGCGCCATTAAATTTTATTGAATATCATAATTTAGTTTTTGGGGACTGTAGTATGACTTTCCTATAAAGTAGAATTAATAATTTTTATATAAAAATTTGTTTTACACGCTTCACAGCAACAGTTAAAGATTACTTATATATTTCTACTTTTTACTTGAAAGTCGATAATAATAATAATAATAATAGTAATAATTTTGGAATTTAAACATTTATTAAAGCTGTAGTAAAACTTTTTTTCTGTATAAATTTTTATAATTGTACCCATAAATTTTTACAACCACATAAAAATAGTTATATATATTACGATATATGGCCTTGAGTTTTTTTTTTTTAAATTTCTTTAAATGTATAAATATTTATATTTTTACAGTTAAAGTTTTATAGATATTAAATTTTAGTTTTTTTCATTGACATACAGATGTTGTCATTAGCTGCGCCTGCCATCCGACAGAGAATATAATTGCCTCCGGAAGTTTAGAAAAGGATAAATCGATAAAGTTGTGGAAGTCAAAGTTTTAATTCGTTATAATAAATTTCTGGATTCGTTAATTTAGCTCAAAGTTATAAATAAATTCTATTTTTCTTCACTATTAAAAAAGTAAATTGTTCATCTTTAAAATCTTGACTGAAAGAGAGTTTACTGTATATGTATATTATGATGTAGCCACAAAATAATTTTATTTTTTTAATTAATAATAATAAAACTGCCCCGCACAAATAAAGTTAAGCTATTATCAATTCGTACTACAGTAAAATTCATATAATTACAAATTTTTTTTTATAAATTTTATTAAAAAAAAATGAAAGCTAATAAAAAAATTTAATTCTCTAAAAAATAGTATCAGATATGAGAATTTCCAATGAAAGAATGAAGCTAAAACAATATTTTAAATTTCCGTAAGCCAGCAGGTAACCACTTTAAAAATTGTAGTTTTTTGTTTATAATCCTCCAGTAATAAACGAGAAATTTTAAAGTGGTGTAAACACAAGCTACATTGCTTACTTTTATTATTTTCTTGGAGAAACAAGCTTAAAAAATTCAAGAGCCTCCGACAACTCTTTATGAATATTTTAAAAGTTGAACACAAAACCCTTTTATAAACTCATATAATTCATTAAGGTCTCCCTGTTTATATCTCGTTAGTCAAGGCTTATCTGGTTGTAGAATTTGACTTTTCCACTTTTACGCTGTTCCTTCTAGCGTTCTGATTAAAATCAGGAAATTTATCTTTGCAGTATTTAAGCCACTTTTTTTCTTGAATAATAGTACCAAAAGACAAGATGTGACTTTAATCTAGATACTGCGTTACTGCGTTTTCGTCGTTAACAAAGGTCCTTAAATTTTATCAGTATTGACAATTTTATATTGTTTGAAATCACTCAAGAACCTCCTTTTGATTATATTTTAAGTTACATTTGGACAACTCCTCAAAATTTCTCTAGCGAAAAGCACGCTGGAAAAAATACTGGAGTGATATGTACAACTTCCACTAAAAAAGCGAGCTATTCAGATAATAGAACCGATTTTACGCTTAAACATACCCCATAATTGAGGAATTTGTTCCTTCTCCCCATTCCAGAACGCTGGAAACTTTTCCATGGTTCCATTAATATATAATATTTTTGTTTTCCCCTTGTTTTATTATTTATATACGTTTTTTTTAATATAACCTTATTGTAAACATTTTTATATTTTTTTATATAATTATCTAATTATTAAAATTTTTTTTAATATTTTTTAATATAATTACTTTATTATTAATAACTTAATACAATACTTGGTGGAGGCTTAAACTAACGGAAAAAATAAATCCAAAAAGTAAAAAAAAAAATTGACATTGTTTTTAAATAATTTTTAGTTCCTTTTTATTAAAACAAAAATTCTTCGAGTATTAATTTTTATATATTATTTTTAATATTTTTTTATAAATTAAGTAAATGAAAATCTCTTCTTTATTCAATTTTTTTTACGTAAAATTAAAAAATTGAATATTATTTTTATTATAATTTTTTATAACTCAAATAAAAAATTCAAGTCTTTCTGTGTTCTTTCCGTTGAGCCGGAAAGTTCGGTACCTGCAGGGATCTCTTCAGAAGGATCGTCGTTATATTTAAAAGACGCTTCCCTTAAATATATACAATAAATAATATGTATTTTAATAAGAATATGAAAAAATTTACTATAATAAAAAAAATATATAATAAAATAAAATAATTATAACAAAAATTTATAAAATAAGAATAATAAAAATAAGAAACAAAAAAAAAAATATAATTTAATTTATATTTAATAAAAATGATAATTATAAATTTGTTAAAAAATAACTTAACAACAGGTTTAAAACGTAAAATATATTTAATAAAAACAAAAAAATATATAAATATCAAAGGAAAAAATTAATTTATTAAATTAATATTTAATAAAAATATAAAAGATCTAATTTATATAGTAAAAATTATAATAAATAAAAAAATAATAAATATATTATTTTTAATATATTTAAAAGAAATATTTAAAAATTTAGTAAAAAGAAATAACGAAAAGTTATATTCTTTTTAATTTAATAAATAATTTAAATATAATAAAATTTATAAAATTAAGAAATGATTAACATACATGAAAAGTAATGCGTTTATAAGTTTAAAAAATTAATAAATATTATAAAAATTAATATATATTTTAAAAAATATATAAAATATAATAAAATATGCAAATTTATAAAAAAAATATTTTATTATAAACTTTCCTAACAAAAATAAAAATTAAAAATTATCAAAAATAATGAATGTATATAAAATATAATGAATAAAAAAATATCATGAAAAATAATATATTAATAATATTTATTTTCTTGTATATATATAAAAAACTTAATAATAAAACTTACATAAAAAGAATATTTATTATATAAAATTTTCTATAAAAATCATAAAAATTACAAAATTTTAAAGTAATATATATATATATTTAGTAATGAATATGAAAAATTTAAAAAAATAATAAAAATACCAAAAAAACCAATAAAAAATGCTAAAAAAAATAAAAGTTACGAGGATTCGTTGTAATTGTTTATACTGAAATTCATCAAATCCTCAATTAAAGTTGGAGCGCTTCTGCATAGAATGAAAAATAGTAAAAAGTAAATGTTTACGCTCTAATTTTTAATTATTATTACTAATCATTATAATTTCTTATAAAAGCAAATAATTACCATTTGCTTATCAAAAAGTAAATAATTATTTATTATTATTAATAATTATTCCATAAAGAAGCAGTCAATTATGAGTTGCTTACTATATAGTAAATAATGTTATTGCTTACAATTATATCGTATAAATTCAAATAATTATAGTTACTTATTACTTATTAATATTAATTATAACAGAATATAAAAATAACTTCTTTACATAGTGAAATATTTTAAAGCTAGTTAAAACTATAATATATTTAGTAAAAAAGTAAATAAAAATAAATACTTAATAATAAGTAAAGTTTAAGTTAATTACAATAACTATATATTATTTAGTATATAAGCTAAAGAAAAATATATTTTTTAAACTATTATATATTATTATTGTTATTATTCGTATTAATAAATATAAATGAATTAATAAACTAAAAGGAACTTTTAAAAGTTATTTATAATAATTAATAAAATTGAAAATATTGTTGATTAAAAATTATAAAAATTAGAATTTTAGTGAAAAGTTTATAGCCAACAGATATTCAGAAAAACATTTTTTTTTTAAATAATTTTTTTTAATGAAGATATTATAAATAGTAATAGTTAAGCTGACTTTCTTAAACTAGAAGGGATGAAAATAATAAATATTTATAAAAAAATATTTATAATAAATTAATATATAAAAAGTATAAAATTTAAAAAAAAACCGCTAATGCTTATAAAATTCATGAAATAAATATAAAAAAAGTTTTTTACATGTAAAAAAACGAATTTATATGTATAAAATACTAATAAAAGTACACTGCGGAAGTATCATCCATCGGAGAATTTTCAATTTCGGATGGAGAAAGACGTTTATAAGAAAATCCTGTAAAATATATATAAAAATACACTTATAATTCACTATTTTTATATATTAATTTAATAGTGAAATAAAATTTTATTTGAAAAACTTGATGAAGAAAAATTTATAAAAATTTTTGTTTCATATAAAAAATAAAAATAAAAAAAGAAGTTAATATTTAGCAATAAAAATTATTATAACGAAAAAATTTTATTTATGTATATTATAAATATTATAAAGTACATTTCACTATTATTATAATGGATATAAATATATAAAAATTAAATCTTTGTTATTAAATTTTAATTTTCATAATTTAAATAAATATTTTAACTATAAATTATTTTTACATCAAGAAAATTATTTTTAATCTTTTTATTTATATTTTTTTTATTAATAAATATTTTCTTATTATTATTATTTATAAGTTATTAAAGATCATATTTTTATATATTACTAAAATAACAAAATTTATATATATTTAATGTATAATTATTCATTATTTTGACGTTTTTGTATAAAAACTTGATATTATTATTATAAGAACAGCAATATCAAAAATTTTTTAATACCAGAATTTTCAAAAATAAATTCTTAAATTTGGCATAAGGGAACTTTTATAAGTATATTTTTTACTTTTAGTATTGTTCTGTTTATTGATTATTACTATATTAACACTTCCTCTAAAATTTAATATATTATGGAGAAAAACAACTTTTCAAAATGTTTATAATAACAAACGAAAAAAAAAAGTAAATTTTATAATAAAAAAATATTTTATATAAAAAAATTTTAAAATGAATTTCATTGGCTTAAAAGCTTCCAAAAATTTTTATGCAAAAATAAAGATTATAATAATTTTTTTGCACTAAAAACTTAAATTTCTTTTATAAATATAAAAAATATTGTTTTAATAAAATGTTAAATTATACAATAACAATGGTGAATTTTTTGCTTAAAAAGTTGAAATTATATAGAATTCTTGATTAAAAAAATTTAGAATTCGAAATAATACAGATGAAAATAATTTCTAAACTTTATTACGAAAAAAAATATTATTTTCTTAGAAAATTTTGTTTAACACAAAATTATTAATACGCTATAAAATATTTGATAAAAATTACAAACGAGAATATAAAAATAATGAAATTTAATATATTTTCAAAAATATTAATGAAATTTTATAAAATTTACAATAAATATTACATTAAAAAATAATTAAATTTCTTTTACTTTTAAAATTTATAAATTTTATAAAGTTTGTTGGAAAAATTATCAAAATAATTATGAAAATTTCTATGCTTTCGAAACTTTTTAAAGTGAACATAAATTTTTATTTTATAAAAAAATTTGTTATATATATTACATATTCTTTACTAAATATTTACACAAAATGTAATAATAATGATATTTTTATGCTTTTTGAAAAACTTTTACTTTTTTTTCAAATTATTATAAATTTTTAAATTATTTAGAAAAAATTTGTTTGGGAAATTGTACGAAAATTTATACTAAATATTAATAATAAAATAATAATGATTATGAAATTCTTATGCTTTTAAAAAACTTGTAATTTTTTTAATAAAATAAAACTATATTTATTTCTTTTTAAAAATTTGTTTGGAAATATAAAAAAGTTTAACTAAACATTTACAATAAAAAATGATAATAATGAAATTTTTATACTATTAAAAACTTTGTTTTTTTTTATAAAGAGAATTCAATTTTTATTTTTTTTAAAAATTTTTTTAATTTGACTAATTCTAATGCTTTTCCTCTAAAACTATATAAATTTATAAAAAAAAATTATTAAAGTATTAGTAATAATGAAATTTACAAATTTATATAAAATAACGGAATTTTTTTTTAAGTTCGAACAATAGAAATATTTTTAAAGAAAAAATTTCAAAGTTGTATAAAATTCTTAATAATAATTTACTATTGAAAATAAATATAATGAAAATTTTATTTTATTTTTTTTAATTTTAGAGAAGAAATTAAAGTTATATATTTTACTAAATTTGTTTAAATTTATATAATATTTTAATAAAAGTTACGATTTTTTTTTCAAATCTTCATAATAAATAACAACTTGAAATAATTATAATGAATTTTTTTTTAAAAACTATTCAAATTTTTTACAGAAAAATAATATATTTTTTTAAAAATATATAAAAAAATTTTCAACCAAAAATATAAATATTTGCAATTTTTCCTTGAAGACTTTACAAACATTTTTTTTAATAAAAGTTTAATTTTTATATTTTATTATATAAAATTTACTAAAATAATATAATTTTAATAAATATCTTTGTCAAAACTAAAAAAATTAAGTCTTAATATTAAGTAAATAATGGTAACTTACTGCTTTGGTAAAAATAAAAAAAAATATTTTACGAATATTTATAAATTATATAATATAAATAAAGAAAGTATTATTAAAGAAAGTACATTTAATATAATATATTTTTTTTTTGGAAAAATTTATTATTAAAGTAGTTTTAATATAATAACCAAACTAAAATATTTATGAATAATTTATATTTTTAATTGTATTAATAAAAATGCAAAAGAAAATATCTTTATTAATTATTACAAAAAACTTTAAGGGTATACTTACATAGGAAATGTTGTTATAGAAAGTAACTTAAATATTTTAATTTTTTTTGCTAAAAAATAATTTTTTATAAAGTTTTTTTATTTTATTTTTAAATATCCGCTTAAAAATTATTCTTATTAAAATTATATTACAAAAAAAATTATTAATATAAAATTAATCAGTACGATATTTTTTGAGTTTAGTTTCAAAGAAAACCTTCAATGTTGCACAATAAAAGTTACGTTGACTTTTTACGCTAAAAAATATATATTAATTTTTTTATTAAATTTGATTTAAAAAGTTTTTAAGTTTTTCCTTTCTTTTATTTTCTTAAATGTCCGCATAAGAATAATTTTATTGCAATTATATTACAAAAAAAGTAAATTTAACTGAATAGAAATTTTTCCAAATAGTCAAAAAAATGGAACAATTTTATTTAATTTTTTATAAATAAAAATTATTCCTTAAAAATTTATTAACAGAACTTTAAAAGTTTCTTAGTAACTAATATTTTTTTTTAATTAATAATATTAGAATAATAATATTTCATATAAAATATATTACAAATTTTTTTATAAAGTTTAATTTTTTAGCAATTTTTTATTATATAAAACTTTTCGTAATGAATTAATTAGTTTTTTTTTAATTTTTAAATATTTTATAATAAAGACTTTATAAAAGTTATTACTATTTTTAATAAAAATATTTGTATAAAAAGTAATTATTAACAAAAATATCATACAATTTTTGTTAAATTTATACTTTTAGTAAATTTTTTGATTATATATAAAAACTTATATTGATTTTATTTTTTTTTTTTAATTTTTAAGGATTTTATAATAATAATTTATTGAAAGTTTTTTTTTTTATTTTAATTCTAAAAATATTTGCAAAAAAGAAATTATTAACAAAAAATTACTACAATTCTTATAAAGTTAAACTTTTTTTAGCGAATTTTTAATAGTATATAAAAATTTTGTTTAAATATTTTATAATAAAAACTTTATTGAATGAATTTTTTATTTCTAATAATAATTATTTTTGCAGAATTATAATTTTTAATAAAATTATCATACAAATTTTCCGTAATAAATTTATTAATTTAACTTAGTAAAAATTTTATAGTAAAAGCTTAATCCGAATTTTTATTTATTTACTGATGAACGTAGCTAACAAAATTAACATTACTAATTTTTTTAATAGTATATAAAACTTTTTTTATAAAAAATTATGTATTTATTTTTTTTAATATAAAATTATTTGCATAAAAGTGATTTAAACAAGTTTGATATATAATATTTAACTTTTAGCAAAATTTGAATATAATTTTAAGACTTTTTTGGAATAAATATACTTATCCATCATTACTTTTGATAAAATATTAGAATAAAAATTTATATCACAACTATTTTATGAATTTTTTGTTATAAAGTAAAACTTTTTAGCAAAATATTTTATTTTCCTGTCTATTCTAAATATTTTCTTTATTCCTTTTGAAACTCTAAAAAAAAAAAAGAAATATTTTATGTTAAAAATTTTTAACTTCAGAAATTCACATTAAAGTTTTGTAAAAGTATAAATAAAATGTTATAAATTATATATAGTAATATTTCATAATTTTTTTTTTGTAATAAAAATAATATTCATTTTTTTTTTAACTTTGATATACTTTATATACTCTTTAATTTATTAATACTAAATTATTAACTTTTATAACAAAAATCTTTTAATAAAGTTTCTCATCCCAAAAGTTTTGAAAAGTACTTATAAAAAAATTTACTTCATAAAAAGTACTGATATATTTTTTTAGGTTCATTAAAAATACATTAATTTATGGCTTTTCATTATAAATAAGTATAATTTATAATACTATACTACTTTAAAAATAAAGAAATTTTATATATTATTAGAAACTTTTTCAACTAATTATTATAAATATTTTATTTTATAGGTATAAATATGGCCTAAAAATAAAAACATTTTTTTATTACCAAAAAAATATCAAAATGTTTATATAATAGATAAAAATTTATAAAAATAAGAATATTATAAATAAGAATTAAACTTTTTAAAAAAAATAAAAAAAAGTTATTATCAAATTTTTTATAAAAATAATACAAAGTTAAAAAATGTTAATACTAGATAATTTTAATACTACTATAAAATATATAATTCATAGTAATAATAATAAAAAACCCGTAATTCTGCCGCTGTAGAAGGCACTCGCGGGTTTCTGGTAAACGGAAGAAAGCGTTCCAATATTTCTTATAAGTTCATCAAGTAATGAAGGCTCAATAAAATTGTATTGAGGAGATATAGAAGGCTATAAAGAAAGTAAAATATAATAATATTCATAGCAATAATAATAGTAATCGTTATATAATTATATCTTCATATACTTTTTTGAAAAAGGAAGTACTAATACCTTACTTATAAGCGTTATAATAAATATTATAATTATATAAATTTTTAAGCAAGTTTTATAATACTCTGATTGATAAACAAAAGACAGTTTAAGAGTAAATAATAATAATAAGTAACTAATAATGAAATATAATTAATTATAACCTTTTCCTTTAGAACAACAGCGCGTGCAGCGTTTGGATCGGCCGATAAAAGCCGCCAGTAAATATACGCGCGGTCCCTCAAGTCCGGATTATCCGCATTGGTGGATAATTCTATGACGTCATAGAAAAATAAATGAGAACATCTATAATTGGTTTATTTTTTGCACTTAATTCGGGTGACATTGTCTAGGTACTGTTTAAATATTATAGAAGCCATGTTATATTTAAGTAAACATATAACGAAACGATATTTAAGTATTACTAAGTGAAAGAACAGTCTAATTTACGTCAGAAAAACGATCTTTATCCTTTAAAGTGTAGATAAAATAATGAAAACGGATCAATATTATTATATAACCGATGAGAGACAATTTTAAAAATGACGAATAGTTGTTATATTATTGTAAAAAATTTCATATAAAGATATTTGAAGGGGAGGGATTTGAAAGCCAATAAAAAAATAACTAAAACTTTATAGGCCAATCAAATAATTATACATCGGTACTAAAAAACAAATCAGGAAACTAAGGTGTATTATTTTCCATTATAAATTTGTAGAGTTATCAGCCAATGGAATAGGTATGGAGTAGAATAAATCAGATGTTATTAGGAAAATAAAGAAATGTTAACTTATTAATTTTGAGTACTTATTTTTTAATGAAAATGATAAGAAACAAAAATAAAAATAGTAATAATACTTTTTTCCTAAATAAACAACTAAAAAAGTATTAAAAAATGGTTTTAAAATAATTAAAATGATATAATAATATGAATAGCCTTATATAAACCTCCACTAATAATAAAAATAGTTATAAGCCAGCAAAAAAGTAATTAATCAAAATAAAAAAAAGATTATTTTAATTGACAATAAATTACTATTAATAAAATAAACAACCAATATAAACTGGAATAATTATAGGCCAATAGAATAACGTATAAATTGTAACAAAAAATTACTAAAAAAAAATTATAAAATATTTAAGAATAAAGAAAAACCGAACTTATAATAATTTTAAAGTTTTTAGGTAATAATAATAATAATAAATACAAATAATACCCAAAACTCTTTGGAGGAGGGACTGTGTGGTTTGTGGTTTATTCAGAAAAAGTTTAACAGTCGCAGAAAGTAACTGAAGTTGAACCTTTCAGAATAGTAATAAACAATAATAGTAATAATAATGATAAAAAGCGTGCCTGTGCGGGTTCCTCTACAAAACTATCGAGAAACGAACTCAACAGCTCGTCCGCGTTTTCTACTCGCTGCGGGTACTCACCAATGATCCAAATTATTGAAGTTTTAGCATCAATGTCGTCAAGGGCATCCAAATAACCACAAATTTTAGGAATAACGCGCTCGTATTGGTTCGGATATTTACGAAGAATATCTTATACAGAATAATAATAATAATAATAATAATAATAATAATAATAATAATAATAATAATAATAATAATAATAATAATAATAATAATAATAATAATAATAATAATAATAATAATAATAATAATAATAATAACCTTTTATAACTATGACAGCCTCCTGAACGATATAACTTACCTTTGTTTGTATCAACTCCATAAGCGCCTCGACGCATCTTTTTTATATGAATAACTTTTTTATTGGTATTATATTTTTATTATACTTCTTTATATAAATAAAAAATATATATAATTTTTAATTAGTATTATTTTTTAATTGTGATATACTTTTTAATATAATAAAGGTGATGAGTATTGTATTAGTATTATTTTTATCTTACTTATTACTTCTTCAAAAATAAACATTAAACTACTTTTTTATTAATAAATTTTTATCTATATGTTATTTATATAAAGATAAAAAATATAAGTTATTATTATATAGAAAAATAATTTTACTCGTATTATTATAAACATTATTTATATATTTTTTATATTATAATAAAAACTTTTCTATTATTATAATTATTATTTATATTTTATTATTAACTTTTTTTTTTAAAAAAAAATTAATAATTTTTGTTGTAGACATTATTAATAAATACTTTTTTATTAACTTTTTATATAAAACTTAATACTTTTTATTATATATGTTTCATATTATAATAAAATCTTTTTTCTAATATTTAATAAACATTTATACTCTTACTATTTATTTTTGAAATCGTAATACAAACTTTAAATATTATCAACTTTTTTATTCTTTTTCAAAATTTCAGATATTATAATAAAAACTTTTCTATCACTATTATTTCTGTTATCCATTTCCTACATAAAAACTTTACTTTCTTATTTGTTCAATTTTTTTTATTTTATAATATAATTTTCACTATTACTATATTTTTTTGTTATTATTTTTAATAATAAAAGCTTTTATATGATTTTTATTATTAATATATTTCGTTATTCATTAGTTATAAAGAAATTTTATTTATTAACATTCTTGATACTCTTTCATTATTTTTATTAATAAATATTTTATTATTATTATGAACACTATTATACTTTTTTCTACTTAGTTTAAAAATTATAATAAAAACTTTTCTAAAATTATTATTTATACTTTTCTACTAATTATTTCTATTAAAAATAATACATCTTCTATATTATTACTATCATTATCAATACATTTTTATTATTTATACTATTATTAGAATCCATTACTTTATATTATAATAATTTTTTTAATATTTCCTTTAATATCATTTTATTATAAACTATAATAATAACTTTTTTTAAAATGATATTGTTAATAAATTCTTTTTTTAAACATAAGAACATTTATTAATAAAAAAAATTGGTATACTAAAAAAAAAACTTCATAAATATTAATATAAATATGAAAAAAAAATATATAAAAAGTTTACTGTTATATTTTCAATAAAAAAATAATAAAAGCTTTATAAAATAATAATAATAAAAATATGAAATAAAATTTGATTATATTTTTATTATATATTCATATACAAAAGTTTATAAGACTAATAATATTTATAAAAACAATAATAAAAACTATAAAATAATAAAAAATAATAAAAGAATAAAAAAGGGTATTATCATATATATTTGTATTTTTATAACATAAGTTTATAATAATATTATTATTTTTTATACTATAAAAGTTTCTTTTGCTATACGTTTTCTATGGTTAGAACTTTTATAAGTAATATATCTTTTAAAGAAAATATTAACATATATAATAATAATTATAATAAGTGAAATAGAACTATAATAATAATAATAGAAAGTAAATAGTATTAATATATAATAATAAATATAATAAAAAATAAAATAATAATATAATTTTGATAATAAAAAAAAAGTAAATTTTATATGGGATTAAATATAAATTTATAATAAATATTAAAAAAATATGGTAACAATATATTTATATATAATAATTATAATTATTATTATAAATAAAAGTGAAAATATTATATATTATAAAAAAAATTATATATATAACAACAATTAGAAAAAAATATATTAGAATAAAAATAGTAATACAAGAATAATTCAAAGTAAATATCTTTATAGATAATAAAAAGTATATACAATAAACAAAATAAAAAAGTAACTACAAGCAATTATCTTTTTTTTAAAAGAAATAAATATTAATAATAAAAAGTAAATTTTTATAGATAATAATAATAAATTTTCACCTTTCCGCACAACTTTCTATTTTTATAGCGCACTGACCAATAGAATTTACGGCTTTCCGCACAAAGTCGACGTCCACTTCCGTTGAATATTCTTTCAGTTCAGATAAAATCTTTTTATTTTCGTATATAATAATAATAATAATAATAATAATAATAATAATAATAATAATAATAATAATAATAATAATAATAATAATAATAATAATAAAGTTTTAAAAAAATTATATAATAATGATAATATGTTTAATATTTATTTTAACAATATAATAATACAGAGTCAAATGCACTTAATAAATATATATAAAAATATAATTAATTAAAATTAAAAAAAGTATAAACAGTAAATATGAAAATAATAATATATACAATTAAGTAAATGTTTGTACAAATTTAATAATGATATATAAATAGTATAATATGAAAAATATATAATTATAAATACAATTATTTTATATTTTCTAAGGAAAAATATATATAAAATAAAATGTAAATACTAATAAATATAAAATACAGCATTGCTTTTAAAAAATATTACAAATATATATTTATATAATAATTATATTAATATAATAATAATGAAAAAATATAAGAAATAAAACTATTTTAATGTTCATTAAAAAAAATGTAATAAAATAATAAGAATAATAATAATAACAAAATAATGAATTCAAAGCTCATTAAAAATAATAAAATATAATAAGAATGAATACAGCTATTTTAACTCTAAAATATTATATTAACAATAAGGAAGAACGTTGAAAGGAATATAATGATTATACTATAAAAGCAGTAATAATAATAAATCAAAGTTCACCTGCGCCACGTTATACTCCGAAGCCAATAGCATCATTATTTTAAGCTTTTCCAATTTCACATAGGGTGGATCGTTATATTTCACGAAAAAAGACTGAAAAAAAATCAATAATAATACTGAAAATAATAATAAACTTTTATAATACTTTTATTTCCCGCTGAAGAATAGAAGGAAACTTTTGTATGATTATATTTATATTGCAAAGCGCAACGTACTGCACTTCGGCTTCGGAAGACAAAAGTGTGACCTTTTTTACATATAAATTCATATAATTTTACTTTATTTATAAAAAAAAGGTTTTAAAACAAGAAAACTCATATAAAAATTTATATAAAAACTATTAAAAAGGTAAATATATATATTTATATAAGCAACGCATTAAAGCAAAAAAAAAAGCTTTTATTAGGCACACATATTAATAGTAACAAGTTTACTTTATGTATATTAAAAAAGTTATAAAATACATTAATACTAAAAAAAAATATAAAAACGATATATAATATGAAAAGTAAATATAAAGATATAAAAAAAAATTAGAGAATATATAATAACATAAGAATTTACACAAAAAAAAAGAAGCAAAGCACTAAAGAGGGGAAAGTTTTTTTTTCAGTGCAGATAAATATGAATATGTATACTTTATTTATAATAAATAAATTGTAAATTATATAAAAACTAATAAAAAATATGTAAAATAAATAAAAAAATATAAATATATACGTAAAAAAAGGAAGAAATTTTTTTTGTTTTGCACATAAAAGTGTAATAAAAAACTGGTTAGTTCACGAGAACTTTGAGCTATAAAAATGACTTATGCTGAATTCGAAGCCAACAGGCTCATAAACCTCGCGGAAGTAAAACCTTACTAACGTACACTAGCATTTCCATCCGAAGCGGTTCTATATCTAGTTTGCTTAGGTTGAGCCTGTGAAACCCTTGTGGACCACTTGGGCTGTAACTTGCTAAGTGGGCTAGTACTATTCTCGGTTGAAGGTTGGTAGCAAAGACAAACACCGCCAGAACAAGAACTAGCTGATGAGTGATGATTAAGAACACTACTGCTCTGATCCAGAGCCGCTGGTGTAATAGTATTATATGGTATTAGTACTGTTATACTAGCGTAGTTACTTGTATCGAGCGGCGGTTTAGTGTCGTTTGATGGCAGCAGGTACTAAATAGTGTTCTTCCCCAGTGTATATATATATACCGAGCCGCTCTTGAAAAAAAAAAATAAAAACTAATAAAAGTAAATAATAATAAATATATATAAATAAATAATAAAAGAAAGTAATACGATACGATAATAATATGTATAAAAAATTAACGCACTAAAGGAGGTGAAAGTTTTTTGTTCAGCGCATTCAAAAATTCATCATCACTTATAAAGTCGACGAACTTTAGCACAACCTTTTCATATCAAAGTTAATAATAATAAAAGTTTTACTTATTATTATATAAAATTTTATTTAAAAAAGCTTTATATACTAAAAAGTTATACTTAATAAATTTATTTTTACTTATTATTATAATATTTAAGTATACTTTATATACTAAAAAGCCAAACCTAAAATATTTATTTTACTTATTATTATTGTATTAAAGTTACTAAAGAAAACTTTATACTAATTGGGTTTTACTTAATATTATTAAAACATTTTTATGATAAACAAATTTGCTTATTATTTTTATTAAACAAAAAAGTTAGCAGAAACTTTTTTATAATAAAAAAATTTAGTTTTTTATATATAAATTGTTAATAAAAGTTTTATTTTACGTAAAAAGTAATATTTATTATTTCGGTTTTACTTTTATTATTATTATTGTTAAAACGATTTATATATACTAAATGTTTTACTTATTATTATAATAAAAATTTTGATATTTTAAGAAGTAAAATTATGTATATTTCTATAAATATATGCTTTACTCATTACTATTTTTATTAAAATTTTTAATATATTTTGTTTTACTTATAATTATTACTATTATTTATATCAAAATTAAATTAAAAAATAAAGAAAATATTCACTTAATATTGTTTTATAAATTTTTTTTCTTTTTGTTATTATCCGTAAAACTATAATAGTTTTACCTATTATAATTTTGTACACTAAATATACCAATAAAGTTTTCTTGAAGTTTAATAATAATTTATTTTTATATAAATAATATAAAATAAATAATATTTATAAAAAAGCTATAATAAAATAATAAAATAATAAATAATTATAAGAAAAGCAAATAAATCAATAATTATAAATTAATAAATAATAGTATTTAGAAATAAATAATAATACTTAAAAGATAATGATGATGATACATAATAATAATAAACATATAAATGGTGATAATAAATTAATATTTAAAAATAATAATAAAAAGATAAATACATAAGTAAATATATAAATGTTAATAATAATAAAAAAATTATAATAGAAATAAGATTAATAAAATAATAATATTAATAATGTAAATATAAAAGTATTTATAAGAAGAAATAATATTAATAAAAATAATAAAATATAAAAAATTTAAAATAATAAAAAATATTATAATAATAAAAAGTAATAATAAAATTAATAAGAAAATGTTTAAAAATAAAAAATAAAAAACTAAATAGTATGTAAACATGTAAATGTTAATAATAAATAATATTAATAAATATATATATAAAAATAGTATTAATAAATAAATAATAAACAAATAAATAATATAAATAAATAATAAACAAGTGATGTGTAAATATAGAAATATTAATAAATATAAAATATTAATAATAAATAATAATAAATATATAATTATAATAAAAAGTAATAAAAAACAATAATTTATAAATATAAGAAAGCAATAAATAACCATAAATAACTGTATATATATATAGTAAATATATAAATATTACTAACAACAAATAAATAACAATAAATATATAATTATAATAAATAATAAAAATAACTATATAGAAAGTTAATAGATAAATGTTTCTCATAATAAATGGTAATAATACTTTTACAGCGGAGAGGACTACTGCGGGGTTTGCGTGCTGGAGGCGAGGGAGGACCCGCTGGCATATACCTTCAGCCTCGCGAGAATTCTTCGGTTCGATAGTCGCGAGACAGTCAAGAATAAATATTTGGCCCCATCTATATATATTTTATATATAATATTGGTGAAAAAAGTTTTTAATATTTATATGGAATGAATTATATAAAAATATTAATAATAATTAGTAAAAGGTTTTATATATAATATTTATGGAAAAGAGTTTTTATTATTTATATAAAGTGAAGAATTATAAAATAGTACAAGTAAAAAAAGTTTTTATTATTTATATAATATGATAAGAATTATAAAATATTAAATAATTAGATAAATGTTTCTAAATAAAATAATTTCTATGTGATATTGATGAGAAAAAGTTTTATAATATTAAAGAATTATAATTATTAATAAAAAGATTTAAAGACTATAATTTATCTATATTTATGAAAAAAAAATTTAATAATTTATAAAATATTAATAATAATCAATAAAAAGTTTTAAAAATAATGAGTTATCCTTATACTTATTACGCGTAAGCTTAGTATATTAATTCACTTTTCGTATATTTTCATATACTTTAAGAAGTTTTAATTAAAATATTATTTTTATAATGAATACTTTAAATAGATATATATATGATATTTATTTCATAAAAAAGTTTTTATTACTATAACATTAATAAAATAGAAAATAATAATAATAAAAGTTTTATACAATATAGTTTAAATGATTGATAATAAAAAGTTTATACTATTTATAAAATATTATATGAATTTGAAAATATTGATAATAATCAATAAATATTTTATATTATAAAAAAATAGTCAATAATTTAAATACTATTAAAAAATTTTAAGGTAATTATGAAAAAAAGTTTTTATTTTACTACAAGATAATAAAAGTTATAAATGTTTTATAAAATATATTTTATATAAAATCTTGATAAAAAAAGTTTATATTATTTATATTATCTTAAAGGAATTGAAATATATTAATAATAAATAATACAAAGTTTTAATAATATATTTGATATGTAACATTAAAAAAATTACGAAATATTAATAGTCAATAAAAAGCCTTAAAAAAAAGTTTTCATTATTTTAAGATATTAGAATACCGGTGAAAAAAGATACTGTTATTAATATAAAAAATTAATAATTATAGAAGTTTTACTCCGTGCACTCATTGAGAGCTGCCAGAAGTTTATATAAAGTTCCAGAGTTTAGCAGAACCACGTCTTCTTCAGAAACCGCGTTGATTTCGCAAAGCGCAGCAACAGAATTAGCGACAACCTCATTAACAGTAATAATTATAATAATGATAAAATTTCTGAATTTAAAAATAAATATAAATAATAATAATAATAAAAGTTTTATTATATATAATATAAAATATTAATAATAATGATAATATTAAGAGTAATTATAGTATTAATATTACTGATTTTAAATAATAAAGAAAAATAGATAACAATAAATAATATTATTTAATAAGAATATTGCTGGATTAAGAAAATAAAGAAGAATAAATTATGAAAATAATAATTATAAATTTTATTAGTATAAATAATATTAAAAAATAATAATGTTGATAGTAAAAATAATAATATTTCTTATATATATAATAAAGTAGGATAAATAAAAGTATTAATAATATTTCTGATTTAAATAATAAGGAAGAATAAAGAATAATAATAATAGTAATAATAAAATATTAATAGTATTAATATTTAGTAAAACTAAATATAATAAAAAATTGGGTATTCTAAATTTTAGAAAAAAAAATAAATACTACTAGTTCCGTGTATAAAAAGTTTTATAAATAACAAAAAGAAGAAAAGTAATAATAAAAGTTATAAGTAATTTTACTATAAAATAATAATATTATAACCTTTTAATAATTCCTTAAAAATAAGTTATAAAGTCTTAACTTTTGAAAAAGACGTTTAAACCAAAATACTTTTTAAAAAATTTATAAAATAAATAATTTAATTTATTTAATTAAATTTCGTAAAAATAATATTTTTTAAAAACTATAGAAATTAAAAAAATTAAAATTTACTTGATTATAGATTTAAAAAAAAATCTTTATAAAAACATTAGAAAAATCAAATTAATTTTATTATTACTTTAAATTAAGTATATATTAATTAAATGATTATAAAAATGATTAAAAATTTTTAATAAACGTTGATTATACAAAAAAATAATATAAAGATTATAAAATTAAATTGGATATATATTTATCATTATAATAAATAAAGTAAAAACTTAATAGTTTACTAATATGATTTTAAATTTTATAATTATTATATTTTTATAAATTTGATTAAAAAAATACAAAACTTACTCTATATATAATTATTATTACAAATAAAGTAAAAACTTTAAAAATAACTAAAACCGAATTCAAAATTTAAATTAATTATAAATCCACAATAACAACTTTAAAATTGTATATAATTATTATTTTTTTAAAAAAAGTAGAAACTCAAACGTTAACTAGAAATAATTATAAATTTCAATTAATTTAATATACACAATAAAATTAACTTAAAGATTTTAAAATTAGTATTATATATAATTATTATAAATAAAGTAAAAACTAAGAATTCAACTAAAAAGCAAACTCAAAATTTAAATTAATTATAAATGTACAATAAAAATAATTTAAAAACTTGAAAATTAAAATTATATATTATCATTAAAAAAAAATAAAAACTTAAAAGTTAACTAAAATAATTTTAAAAATTAAATTAACTTCAAACAAAAAATAAAAATAAACTGAAAGCATTCAAATTTAATTTTTAAAAAATTTATATTATAATAAGTAAGTATTTTTATTAACTATATATTTAAGTTATTTTTAATATATATAAAAAATTGAAAAAAATAAAAACTGAGATTAACTTTATCAAAGAAAAGTAATAAAAAGAATGAAATTAAGTACAAATTTACTTTTTTATTAATATAAATCAAGTAGAAAAATAAAAATTAACATTAAATAAAATTACAATAATTTAAATTAACTTGAAAAAATGACTTTAAAAATTATTTTTACTATAAATTATAAGTAAAAACTAAAAAGTTAACTCTAAAAAAGATTGCGGCTTTATATTTAACTGTAATTATTATAATAATAAAGTAAAATTTTATATAAAATATCTAAATTTATTGATAGCTGGCAACACTATATGAGGTCAAGTAAAAAAAATTCAGATAATTAAAAGTTTAGATTAACTATAACTTATACTTTAGCATAGCAAAGTAAAAAGCTAGAATAAAAATTAAGTACAAATTTACTTTAATATTATTATAAATCTGTTAGAATTTTTAAACTCAAAATTAAAAAAAATTAAGAAACTTGAATTAACTTTAAATTACAATATTATTGTTATAATAAAATAAAAAATAAAAAAATAACTTTAAAATTGATTTTACAAGAAAATTTATATAAATTTATAAATAAAAACTATAAAAATAACTCTCAACTATAGATTTATAAATAAAAATTTATTCTAAAAAGATTTCAATTTTAATTTATTTGCAAATATTGTAGTAATAAAGTAAAAATTTTAATACACATGAAAAAAATTCCAAAAACCACATTAACCGTACCACTGGATTGGAATCGCTTAAGAATTCTCTAAGCGTTATAAGAAATCCTTGATCTTCCACAAGCTGAGGATTTATATTATATAATTTTGCAACGCAAATTGCTGCAGTCTTTCTAACATAAGGATCCTCATCCTGAAAAAAATTAAAAAAATATAAAAATCTTTAGTAATTATTGTAAAAAATATTCTAACATATTTTATTTTTCCGAAAAAAAAAATTAATTCGTTAACAAATTGATTTTTTGAAATTAAAAAATTTAAAAATAATTTTTTTAATTTATTTTTAAAATATTAGTATTGTTTAATACTAATTTTTATAAAAATTTTTATTAATAAAATTATACTATAATTCTTTCAAATATAAAGCTTATAAATCTCTAATCCATTAGTTTTATAAGTAGTTTATTAAATTATTTTTTTAACTATCTTCAAAATAAATTTGAGTCGAGATTAATTTTTTTAATTTATGAATAAAAATATTAAGAATATTTAACTCGGAAGTTAGATTCTGATTTTTTAAAAAAATTTAGAGTATAATTAGCTATGAGCGGCGTTTAGTAAATATAATAAAATCTTTAAAAATATTATTATAAATTATTTTCGTTACGTAAAATCTATTGTTAATTATATAACCCATAATTTCAAATTATTTGTTGGCTTTAGTAATTTAAATATATTATTTTATATAAGATAATTAAATTATTACATCTCAAGAAATTAATTTTTTATTTTACTTTAAAAAAAAATTATATTAATCGAAAACCTTTAAGCATTTTCTTAACGGATTGCACAAATACTCGGAAATTTTATCAACGCGAATGCAACTCATAGTCCGAATGGCAAGAGCACGTATAAGCGGATTACTATCATCAGAATCCTTTTGAAAAGTATTCACAGCCAACAAAGCCTTAAAAATATTTAAAAATAAGGAAAAGAAACCTTTTTTATAATAAAATAATTAAAATTAATTAATTAGTACTTAATTGTATCTTATAATACCAAGTCTGGTTGTGTTTTAGCGTGATTCAGCAAATATAAGTATACTAACTTTTTTAAAACTAAATCTTCCGTTTGCAAGCAGTTAACCACATCTTGTAAAAGTGGATTTTTTTATTATTAAAAAAAAGTGATTTCTAAACTTAAAAAACCTGGAAATAAAGATGAAACATCTTTGCCAACGGTCATGTTTGCAATAACCTTTTTCACAGCTTCCGTTCTAGTTTTTTTGTTATCGCTGTTTAGATCATCTTTAAGTTCATAAATTTCACCTAACAAATAATATTTTTACTTTTTATTTTTTTAACTACAAGATCAATAATTATTGTGTTTTTATAAATATTTATAATGTATTAATAAAATAGTTCAAAAGTACAACCTTTTTTTGTAGTTGTAAAATACTTAGAGCCAACCATTTTTTAAAAATTTAAAAAAAAAAACTCGTAAAAATTTGACTTAATAACAGGCAAGCCAATCAAAATAGCCTCCGTTAACGCTCCTGTAAAGTAGTCGACGCAGCCTCAGCAAGTTCCCCCTTAAAAAACTTGTTATAGAAAAGTTAATGAGAAAGTATGTGTAAGTCCTATAATGATATGAAATAAAAAGTTAAAAATAAAAACATAAAAAAGTTAATAGAAAAATATGCGCATCTTATTTTTTTTGGTTAAAAATTGAAAAGTGGGTGGTCTTAGAGTCTTACAGTGAATATTACTTACTAACCAAAGGACCTTTAGCAAAAGTCAAGCTGTACTCTTTTTTAAAATAGATTAGTTTGTTAAAAGATTTAAAATGTTTATTAACTTGTTTACGGACTCCTTCTCACTTAAGTCTCGTTTAAAGTAATGACGAACTATAAAATTGGACAAAGCTATCGTTGTTGGATCTTTTAAGAGAAAAGCTTAGCTATTTTTTTTTGGTTTCTACGAAGGAAATTCTGTTTAAAGTATAGTTCTTAATTAACCAGAATCTACAATTTCCTTTCTTTTTGGATTCTAAAAGTTTTTTGCTACTAAAATCAAGTGATTAAAATAGTTAAGCCTCTATTTAATTTACTTTACTAAATTAGAATTTAACTGTTAATTGAAAGAAAAAAAAATAATTGTGTACTAAACTTTGCTGATTCTTCTCTTAAAAAAAAAATTTAACTATAAAAATGCTACTTTATAAAAAAGAAATAAACCCAATCGGGGCTGTACCTGCTTAGATCTTTGACTTTCTAGCATTATTTTACATAAACATCTAGGATGCTTTCCACCAGTTTTTTGTTAATGTTTAAACGACTTTTTAACTTGCACTACACACCAGAACGAACTAACTTTTATTATAAAAAACATATTACTATAACACTTTCAAAGTAGAAATAAGAGACAGCTTAAATTTGATTTCAGTTAGGAACTTGGCTTGCTACACTTCAAAAAAATTAATATTATTTTTTTAATGTTTCAGAATTAGCAAAGATTGAGCAGCCATTAAGTTTCCTTTCTGTAGTATTAGGTAGCAATAATATTTTCTCATTTAAAAAGAAACTTTATAACTTTTATCTCTTGTCGCCTCTTACATTGTATAGATCTCAACAGTTTTTTGAATATCGAAAGCCAGTGTTGAAGTATATTAGCTCAATAAATTAAAAAAACCAAAGAGATAAGATTCGCCAAGTAATTGTCTCAAGAATTACAATTAAAAGGAAATACCTTGAGTAGGTAAAGGATTGTTATAACTAATTTTTTTAAATGAATAACGGTAAAATAGATAACAGTCACAGACAATAATAACTCCAGAAAAACACTTGCTTATGGCATTTAAGTAATTAGGAATGATATTCCTTTTTTTAACCGATGTAATTTGGTTTAAACTTATGTTTGTAAAAAGTTAAATAGGCAAGTTACATTTGCTATCTATTTCATATACTGTTTGTCAAATTTGACTCATCTACGACGAGAGCCGCACATACTATTGAGCACTGACAGTTTGCGATGCATTATTAAGTAGAATTACATCAAGAGTCTAAATCATACTTAATACTTTTTAAAAAAGTAATTTTTCTTTTTACTTTCGATTGTCGGTACAAAAAGATTTTACAAGATATATAATTAAAAAAATAACTTCTCTTTATGTTTATTTGGGCTTAAGTTTATTAATAATTAATTATGTTGTAAATCTTCCAATTGTCAAATTTCTTCTATGAATTTAAAATTTTAATAAAAAAGATAAAAACGCCCTTTATGATTCCTTTATACTTAATGTCTTTGTCATTTCCTCCAGGATTTCATTAAAATTTTATTAATCATGAGGAAAACAATAAATTACAAATTAGGTAGAACAAAAACTCCGAACTCTCTTTTTCTTTCAGTCTAAGATGAACATTTAAGTATTAAGCAGAGAAATATTTTCTACTATAGTCGACATAGGCTTTTATTTTATCCAAAATAGTTATTTTCATAAGAAATATAAATTAACACAATTTATTTTGTAATTATCATTTCTGTTCGTTTTGTAACATGTTTTCAGTCACTCTCCAAGACTCTAAGTAAAAAAGTAAACTACAACGCGACAAGTAAAGGAACTACCCTTTTGCTATTATAACGGCAGCTGCAAACGTATTAATGTTTAGTAATTTGTACAAAAGCTTATAAACAAAGGATTAATAACTGTTATATAGTTAAATGAAGGTTTATAGTCCACGTTAAGGCGAATTGCCAGATAAAACTTTATTTTAGCTTGTAATAGCCGTTATTTATATCTTAAGTAGGGTATATATATAAAAGTTAATAGTTAAGAAATTCTGTAACACCATAATTTTATTTTTTCAGTATTACTAACTTTATAAAAATATTATTTGATAAAACTAAATTTTTGTTTCGAAACACTAGCGCTCAAGTCAAAACTAAACTTTCTTACAATTTTCCTTTATACAGTAATTTAATTATTTTTTTGTTTTCTAAACCAAAGAAAAAGTTCACATAAAAAGTTTCTCAGACCTTTCTGTTTTTCGAATATAAAGTGAGCTATACAAGCTATATTTTATTTTTTTTGGTCCGTCTCTGCCTCCTCCTTATCTCTATTAGCTTTGTAGGCTCCTCCTTATTTTATGTATACAGTTGAATTAAAGTTGCCCCCCTAAAAGTTGCCTCCCTAATGTTAACCAAATAAATACTTCGTATTTATAATAATTAACAACTACACATGGTGTTAATATTAGTAGAACGGTGTTGAGAGTTCAACCGTATACGCGAAAACGCTACTTTAAAGCCTTCGTTTTTACTAATTCTAAAAGATATATGGTCAGTTATCGTTTTAGTATCAAGAAGAAAAGTGCTGTTATATTGCTTTATCCATGCACAAGTTGAAGATTTAAAGAAAAAGTTATTACGAAGCAAATGATTTTATAAGCCACTGCAGCATAATAATGATCTGTTCAAAAGGAGGAACAGCCTAATTACCAAGAGCATTATGCTGGAAATATTAGTGTAAGCTATGCGTCGTGGGAGCTTATTGTCTTCTTGTGCAATGATGTGCATTCCTGCTTTTGTTATTGCTTAACTAAGTTTTTCTTATCTGTATAAAATATAAAGGAAAACTAGTTAACTAAGTATTCATTTAGTTGTTCAATAGATTATTAAGCTACTTATTAACTTCAATCTCGCTAGACGTTTAGTCTTCGTTCTAGCCCTCTAGACTAAAACTTTTACCTTTATAATGTTGCTGGTCTTCGAGGCCCACTTAAAACTACAGCAATGAAGACGCAGTAAAAATCGAAAAAGAAAGAAAGAGCGGAGAAAAAAATTAACGTCACACATATTTTAATAAAAATATATAAATATACTATACATCTTAATGGAATTCATTCAATATTAGATCCGTGCTGTAGTGGTTCAACTCTCTAAACAGTCATCATTACATGTCTGCTAAGATTATAAGTATCATAATATACACAGAGGATTTTTATCACGCTTTTTAGTCACTTAATTTTAGTACATCTTCAAAATAAATTACTGGGTAATTCATGAAGTTTATTTAATGAACTTTAAAAAATTTAGTAAAGCCCCAACATTAAAAGTTAGGTTAAAAAAAAGTTTTTTTTTGGTGTACACCACGAACTAGTACTTTTGGGGGTGCTAAGTTGTATTTTAATAGAATTTAATACACTTTCTTTATTTAAGAAACACGCGAGGCAACTTAGCTATCCCATTTCCTTTTGCCTAAAGTTTGAAGGAAAGTTATATATATAATTGCGCTACTAATTTTCTCCCTCATTCCGCCTCTAACAAAAAATTGTAAACCGAATATTCATGATTAATAAAAATATAGAGGTATAGTAAGTTTCATAAAATGAGCTTAATAATATTTGCATAATTACTAATAATAAAATTTTTAAAACATACACTTTTAAGAAAACAAAAACGAAATAAGATGGCACTCATTTGTTATAAAATGCTATAATTATTTAAGACTTCCCTCTAATTTCATTAGATGACTTTACCAATATCTAATCTAAATTTTACCTCCCCAAAGCACATGAATGAGCAATACTTATTTTGTTACACATTCACAATTTCCTTGTTTGACAATTACTATCTATAAAAAAAACTATTTGCGTTTTACACTTTAAGAAGAAAAAATTGCAAAATGTTCTACCAACCCAAGTTTGTGGGAAGATATTTAATGCATTAATGTGTTTTTTTGAGTATTTTAAATAGTACGCTTCAACATTTACTCTAAATCTTTTTTTCTCCTTTTACTACAAGTTGTGTTTTCAAAAGCTCCTTTTCGATAGTTATATTTTTTCCGTATATGTTAGATCTTTTGGCGTGTGGCTTGCTTATTAGAATCTCTATAACTGTATGACCTTAATTATCAGTAGTTGCTTGTTTATATATAGAAACGAATGACAAGACATTACATATTCTTGAGTAATCTCATTCTTCTGGGGGCTTATTGAAAAATCATATTTTTCATAAATTTTTTATTGAAACTTACTCTGAAAAGGTTCCACCATCAGCCGGTATGCAAAGTGCTACAAGTGGTTGAAATTTGACTGCTTAATAAAGGGTTAAAAAAAATGTGTCTTTAGATTGTAGGTACTTTGGTTAAGTAAAAATATAAGATGCAAATAAATTTTTTATATAAAAAGTTAGTAGAATATTTTTTTCGAAAAAAAAGGACTTTTAGCTAAAATTAGTTCAGCTATTAACGCAGATGATTCGGTTCTACATTCTACCCCCTTTTATGGTAGTGAACCAGTAAAAGATCACCTTATTAATGTGGCGGTTGACTAATTACCGATAAAGAAAATTCTTTGACACCAAAAAATTAAGAAAAAAAGTTATTAGAATGCTATAATAACAATTAGACGAAATTTAACCTGTTAGTTTAAGTGGTCAAAGAAGGCATAAATTACTCTTTGCATTTAGTAATTATTTTATTTTACTTAACATTTGATGTCACATCCTACTAAATAGAATTGGCGTTTTAAAAGTTTAAATTTTTGAAGAAAAATGCCAACTGGAACGCACGAGCGTTCGGCCAATCTATTTGCTTGTAAAGTCATCAATTTGTTTACTTGTGATGGGGGATGTTTGTTGACCTTTATAAAACAGTTTAGGCTTTACTAAACTCTATGTAAACTATAAAGCGGAAAAAAACTAACCTGTATATTTTTTTATATACTTTTTTTTAAAAAAAAAAGAGTTTAAAAATATTTTTTTATTATGTTGTTACACTTAGTAATAAAATTTAAATATCCATACTCTACAGCTGGAACACACTGCACCTATACACACTGTTACTACAATTTTATTTTTTTATGGAGCCAATGGTACATAATAATAATTTTTTTTAACCTAAAAAGAGTAGTTCTTGCTCCTATTATTATTAGTGTTCAGCTTTTAGGATAACAACTATTATATAGTTTCCATATTTTATTATTAATATAAAAGCTTTAAGTGCCTATAGCTAGCGTGATGGCATTTACAACATACATTTCTGTAAACAGCTGGAAGAGAAAACAGTTTGGCGTGAAATATTTATTAAAAGACTGATTGCCCGCGACAACAAACTAAAAAAATTAGCTTTTGTGGAAAGTAGTATGTTTTTTGAAAATCATACCTCCTATACTATTTATACCATATGATGTTACCAGCCTGGAAACCAAAAAGCTATATTAATTTGCTACCAGAAATAAGTGAATTAATAGAAGCATGCTACACGAAATGGATGATTGTTCTCAATTTCATATTTTTGCTTTGTGGTGTTTCTTTAATAATGGGGTAGCTCCATCGCATTTTATTCAGCATTAATGCAATTATTTTACTTTTCCTTTATTTAGGATTTCGAGATTAAGACCTTTATTTAACCTTAATATAAATTGTGGAGTCCATGTAGTAAATACTAAAAGTGCTTATGAAAGCCATATACAATGCCTGTATTTTGATTATTTGACAATTAGCGACATGGAAGGCCCACTGTTACTTATTACTTGCTACACTATTGTATAATAATAGTAATTGTATATATTTGTAGGCATTTCCCTTACGTGCAATCGATTGGAATGCTTAAAGTTTTCTATAAAGGTAACAATAATAAGGTTCAAATACCAACATAACATAAATTCAAGTAAATTTAACGAAAATGTAAGCATTTTTATTCAGCAAAGCTACTCATATAATGGATTAGTAGTGTATTACCTGAATAACTTGAGCTAATTTTATTATATAATATAATGAGAAATAAGCTAAATTTATGTTAGATACATAAGATTATTAGTAAGAACCTCATAAGACTACATAAATTGTTTATATTGAAAAATGCTGGAACTTTTTAGGTCTTCAAATAAAACGTGTAGAAACCTCTCCTAAGCGTTGGATATGCATATTTAGTAACGAAGTGTTTGCACTCTATTATATGAGAATTTATTAATAAATTTATGTTTTTCTAAAACAAAAAAAATAATATTCGCTTTAGGTTTAATAAACTCCACAGAAATAACCTTTCCAAGCCTCAAAAACTTGCGACAGGTTTTAGTAAGGGGGCCTTACGGGCTTCCACTCGTATTTCCATCATGCATTGCTATACGGTTTTTAACTCTATTATTTGTTACTTTTACAAAAGTAATTATTTTAAAATTTTTAAGTCAAAAGTTTACATATACATACAAAAATTGGCTAAAGATTACTTAAATATGTGTTAATATTTGCAACAGATTACCTGTTATCGAAAAAATAGATAAAATAATATTTGAAAATTTTCATTCAAACTGCATGAAAACGCTGAACTTTAGCTCTTTGAAATTTAACAATGAAATACAAGTTGTTAACTCAAGTTTTAAGTAATTCCTTCATTCATGCAAGCCAATAACCATCTCACACTTCTTATAAGGGCCTTTCATTTCTTATTTTTTTTTTATACAGCACTATAGACTTGCCTTTACTTGTTAGAACCAAGTTGCTCAAATTTTTAAACACAAGTTTAATACTTTTGAAAGCATCTCTCTTAAGAACTCTAGAAAAAATAGATATAGATAAGCTGGCTTCTAACAAGCCTGTAAAGCTTATATTTCCGGGGTTGGTGAAGTGTGACATATTTTTGATTACTAATTCTAAAAGTAATTATTTCTCTTTACTAATGTTTGTTTTTAATGATAATTTTTAACTTCCATATATAAACTTTTCAGTAATAGAACAATTAGATTTTCCAGCTCTAAATTCCGTCAACTGCATTTATTTAGATAAACTGGAATTTACTCTTACCGATTTAGTGCTACCCCTTTTGAAATGTTAGTAGACGAGATAATTAATTTAGTGTGTTTGTTTTTCTTTTTAGTTTACTTAAAGGTAAAAAACTTTTTTTTCAGGTGTAGCTGTTCTCAAGATTATTAATGTTAAAGGCCTTCACAGTCTGAAGCTTACGAGCATTGTCAATCAAGGGGTTAATTACTTTTTAAGCAAAATCAGCTTTTATTAATAAAATTTTTTTTTAATTAAGAGTATGGTAATTATAAATACGTGGGGACTGTCAAACGTCATCTCCACTGCTCAGAATGCACAGCATATGACTTTTATAGGAAATTATAATCTAAGTAATTTTTATTATTCAAAAGTCTACTAAGACAAAGTTCCCAATTTTAATCATTTTTTAAAATTTTCCTTAATAATAGAAAGCTTACATTTCGAAAACTTAACAACTTCTGGTATTTATAAATATATCGATGGTTTTTCTAAAGTTCCAAAAATGTAACAGTCATACTAAAGATATTTTCTAATCAAACAGCGTAGAGTATAAACCTAGTCTTACTTTTACTGTGCAGTAGCTTACCATCTCTATTATTGATAGACTTCTTAATGTTTAATAATATGGCCTTGGAATCCTTAAGTTTACCCTCTTTAAATTCAGGCGATTTTACGGTCCTTTATAATATATTTGATTAACAAAATTTTATTATGAACTATTAACTCATCTTGAAATTGTTTAATAACCTATTCAGGTGAAATATTGTAAAAACTTAACTGTAATCTTTTTGCCCAACTATTTAAAGTACTTTTTAATAAATTTTTGTTCTAAACGAATTACTAGAAACCCATAAATATTTAGTGGTAACCTTTTGGTAAGCTCAACTCCAAAAATGAAAAAAGACGTCATCTCCAGCTACCCAAAAGTAATTTTGTTTAGCATATAAACTTTTAATAGGATTTAAATAAATGTATGTGTAATTAATTCTAGTATTGTTCTTTATATAATAGTTTCATTATTCGTAATTATCATAGTGAGAGTTAATTAGATTTTTTTTTGAAATGATTTTTTGTATTACGTCATATTTCATATCTAGTTAATACTAATTTTATATGTTTTTTAATAATTATTAAATTTTTTTTTTTTAACTTTATAAACTATAGTGCATTTTTTTATATAAATTGTAGGTGAGAGAAAGCAAAAGTTCCGGCTTTAAAAATAATGGTTTCTCCCTAAATAATATCTTTTATCCCACTTGTGACTCACCAAGTTAACTAATATATAAAGGCGACTCTAAGGAAAATTTACTTACTCCTCCAAAGTTTTATCAAAATACTCAATTATTAAATTCTTAATATAAAAATATTTTGTACTTAAAAATTTTATTTATGAAAGAAACAAAACTTATCGGTCAATAAAAAACTAACATAATAACTCAACTATATGCATATTGCTTTCTTCCAAACTCATACACTATAAATTTAGCGTTCAAAATAAATTCTTGATGATAACATCCCTTATATATGCCTTACACTTTTAAACTATATTTAACATTTAACCAAGTAAATAAAAAAAAACAGTTACAAATAAAACTTAGAAGTATTTCAAGCTGGTGCAACGATTACCCGATGTATAAGCCAATATTAACTTTTTATACTAACAATGCGATTAATAACTACAACAGACTTCCTAACCCCTCCTTGCATTTTAGCAATAATAAGTTTATCTTATCTGTATTATAAAATCGATAAGCATAATGTCTGAAGTTTTATAGAATTGAAGTTATAAACATTATGATTAGTCTTTATTATTGTTCATGTTGGTAATATAAGTAGTTAAGCTAAAGATGTTTCTAAAATACTACTAAAAAAGTAAATAGGAATTAAATACTGAAGTCAATAGATAACTATGTGCCTATCACAAAAAAAATATTAAAGGCCAAAAAATTTCAGGTATCTCTTCAAAATTTTTATAAAGAGAAAAAGACAAATGCTAAATGAAAATGGAACTTAAAAAAATCTTCATAAAGTAAATAGTTGCAGACCCCTAAAAATGACTAATGCAATACGCCTTCAAAATCTTTTCATCACTCTACTTTAAATTTGCCAAACTATTGACAAAACTAAAGCAGAAGAAAAAGAGAAAGCAACGACAACTTATTTTTTAGGTTATAGTAATAACCTTAACTAAAGACAATTATTTCAATTTTTTAGATTGTTAGTCTCTTCTATTTTAAGCCGATATAATAGTAAACTATCTTTTTTTCAGACACTCAAAAGGAGAAGGTACAAGAAAAAAAAGAGGAGTTTGGCTGAATTGCGCGCACGCTGCTCCCACGAACACACCATTTGCTCTCATCTTATAAGCGGTTTATATGTTAAGGGGAAGTGCACATGTGATTGGCTCGCGCACAGCTGGTTACTCTTTTTCTTTGTTTCTCGTACAGATGCGCTTGGCGCGCCTAGTGCTTCGACTTTTTTGTATTTTACTTTATATCACCCGTACATTATTATTTTGTATGTAATACACAAGTCCTCGAGGGCTTATAGCCTGCAAAATCAACAATGTTGAAAACAGCGTGATAACCAGCAAGCGGTTTTTATAAATTTGAAGATTCTAAATTCTCAACCATAATATTTCGAAATATTAGGAAAACTTGAAAAAAAGATTTAGATTAATATAAAGATGACTATTTTCTCTCCTTTAAGTTTTAGTGTTGGTTTTTACTTGACCGTTCAACTTTTTTAATTATATTTTTAAATAATAAAGTAAATAGTAACGAAAATAGAACTTAATTAATTCAGTGTATTTTTAAATTTTTTTTTTTTTAAAGATAAAAGGGTGTTAAACATTAAGATTAAAACCTTACAAAAAAATTATTGTTTTGGTTCATATGTAGAGCCGTCGATTAGTTGTTACCACATCAGCCGCAGAAAAGTAAGTTAACGAACTAAGAATAAGTATGGTATCTTGAACATGGGACTAATAAAATAGAGATCTTCTTGATTCTATTTTCTGATTAATTTTTCTACTTAACTGTATCTTAATATCGCTATTTATTGAATTCATCACTGCCTCCACCCTAAATGGTCAAACACCAATATTTTGCTTGCACCACGAACTGGAAGTATTTTTTTATTTAAGACATCGACGTCTATCGAAGAGCACTAGCATTTAGCCAATTACTCTGCCCAATTGGAAAGAGCGCCGAAGATCTTGTGGTCGACAAATCGTTGAAAATCGAATTTTTGCGCCGAACTACTTCACCGCTCAGTGTGTTCACCTATCTTTTTAGCACTATATGAATTGGCACCGAAATCCGATATTTAGAAATTTTGTAGCTCCACACTTTTGACTAGAAGGGTTTTCGTTACACGTAAGTAGAACAAGTTTAGGAAAGTGTCTGATCTAAAGCATCCTACGGGTTTGCTTGCTTGCTTTTTAGTTTTATTGGTTAGGCTGCCTCTGCTAATCTGAGTTATTCTTTCAATTAAATTTTTTGATGTTTGGTTTTTACTAACTTACACTTAGAGAGAGATGCCGGCTACGGTAGTTCGCTACCTCCTTTATGGTAAAGTAAATAAATCAAATTTTAAAAAAGGTTTTACTTCTAACTTTCTTGGCCTTTGGTGTCTTAATCTTTATGGCAACTATATGAGCATCTTTCAGCATGCAATTTAGTTGACACCGAATTTAATTAATACATTCTAAATAAGTTAATTTTCATTGTACGCAATTAACCACGTGCCTTTAATTTACTATTTTTGGAGCATATATGATTACGATTAATAAAGCAAAAGGTAGAGTAACTTTTTTTTTTGCTTTAACCGCCGGGCTGTAATTTTGACTCGCGCACCTAACTTCTTACTTCTTCTTGCTTTGGATTTGCGATATTTATTTAACCTACTTTTTTAGCGATTTATTTTAAAATCTACTTATATACTTATACATCTTAGGAAATTTAAATTACATAAATTATATCTACTGATCTTATATTACAGACCTTACATATATTATATATTTTTTTATTATAATTATTTTTTTCTCCCTTTTAACCCCCATTTTTTTAAATTTTAATTTATCTTTATATTAATTATGAGTTTGTACTCTGAAGAACTTCGAGCATTTCATTGCTAACGTGTTGGTTATTTATGTAGAATTAAGAAAAAAAGTTATATTTTACAAAGGCAAAACTTTTAGACGTTACTAAAAAGATCCAAGACAAAATAAGTTTAAAAAGCGGAAGGAGCCTTTTGATAATACAACTAACAATAATAATTTGTTTTCGACCTTACAACTTCTAAATCAACCAGATGCTTCTAAAAGGGTACTGGAAGAGTACTGGAAGATAGCTAGACTCTGAAGGTACAATAGACGAGTCTAGTTACGGGAAAATATCTAATATTAAGGATAGTAGTAGTAGTAGTATTAGCAATAACTTCATGACTAATAGTTCTTATACTGGCGTCATTAATAATAATAATATAATAATTAGCAATAACAGTAACAGCAATAAAAATATATCTAGTAATAAAAAGGGAAATATTAATAATAATGATAGTAAGTTTACCCCAGTAAGTTTCCCCCCATTTAGGGTAATGGAAATGCGAAAATCATTAGCGACTTAGAAAAGCCCACAAAAACTTTACAATACACCGTAGACATAGAGATTGGCAGCGCTTCTGACACTGTCCCTCTATTAAATAAACGACCATCTACTGCAGAACCACCCCACTGCGAACTTGTAAAGAGAAAAAAAAAAAACCCTCCTATTACCCTTGCGAAAAACAAATGTGGCCCCTTTTTGTACAACTTTTGCTAGTCAAAGGTGTCATGATCCCTAGGTCAAGAGCTACGCGTTTTGGAATTAAATATTTCCGTTAACAGCTCAAAAATACCGTGCGACCACAGCGATTATGCGCAAGCAAGTATTACAACATTTTACCTATCAATTACCAGAAGACAAGTTACACATATTTGTTATTTGTGGAATTTATTGCGAACTCGATATCTCCACCCTCGAGGCGGACCTGCGCGCGCAATGCATCACACAACTCCGAGTAGCAGCGATGCACATAGAGGACACTGTCAATGATGAGTGGAAGAAACAATCGTTACCACTAGTGCTGGGGCATGTACCCAGAACGGAGCGTCAAAAGCTTTTAGAGATGATCATTTTCCATCTTCAAATCAAAATAGAAGAACTTCGAAAAAGCAGTCGCAACGGCCGGTTCCACCGCTACCAAACCTTTGGCAACGCTGCAAGCTTCAGCGTTGCGGCGCCTCGATGCGTTATTGCGGGGAGGGTCATTTTACCGCAAAGTGTACCAAATCACGAGACTCGCCTGCTAGATGTGCGAATTGTGGCGAGGAACATACTACCGCTAATTATGAAGGCTGCAAACATTATCCGCGTAAGGCATCCAGCCAACCCGCAAAGTTTACTTCGTCGGCGCCAACAAACAATACTTCTACCCCGTGAGTCTCTTACGAGTCTCGTTTGAGGATAAATGCTCATCAAAATTTGCTTAATATCCAGTTAGGTTCTAAAGCCCCTGGTCACGCTTCTACTGCGAAAGCTGAACAGTCGCAGCCGGCAATACGGCAGATGTTAGCAATTTTAACGACGAAATTTATCTAGCATGCTTGAAACTGTGAAAGGACGAACCTTTTTGCAAACGTTTTCTAAGCCAAAGATGCGCCGCCACATTCGACTCCTTATGGAGTGCAAATGGTGTTCAGAGTATGAAGCACGAGCTTCATGAGCTGTTACTACGAGAAAGAATTTATGTGTGCGCCATCAACGAGAGACACCTCTTTCCTAACGTTGTATTTAATTTGTGCAACTTTGTTACATATCGCCAACACAGAATTGATGCACGCGGCGGAGCATGACTGTTTTGGTGAAACAGATTATACGACATCATTCGATCTCTATGCCAGCTCTACAAGGTGTCGAGACAGTGGGGATTTCCCTATCTATGGCCGGCCAGGGGCCATGTTTGTAATCGCTGTCTAAAAAACCCTAGGAAGCTACTATTTCCGTCCCTTCGATTTGGGCGCCATCCTTGGGAGTCCCTCTAGGAGTGCCTCTTCTTCTTTTTTGTGCGTGGATTTTAATTGCAATCACCCTACATAGAGCAGCCGAGCCGCTAATTCTAATGGCCACATGCCTGAGGTTAATACTGATGAGCGTGGGCTGTGCGTGCTAGGCCCCCGGCAACCAACACACTTGGTGACTACAGCCACAGCGGACGTACTGGAATATTGCCATACTTGAAGATATACGTCTCTTTACAGCGATTGAAGCGCTTTAAGAACCGTCCTTCGATCACCTTCCAGTTATTCTCCAAGGACTCACCAAAGACCATTACCAGTATTTTTACCG